TATCAAACTCAAAACAAAAATAATACGTCCTCACATTCCAAGAGAGTCGAAATAGTGGAGAAGAATGTCATTAGATTATAATACTAGTTGGTTTAATATATACTAAAAAAAAATCACTAATAAAATTCAACCCACAAAGGAATCAAGGCCAACCTGGTTCTTGTATGGCTGCGTCAATGTTTCAAGTCTGGACCACCCAGGTTCCTACATAGCTTAGGCTCTGCCATTTTCATTTTCATTTTCATTTTAAGGACTTGAAATCGGTTTTCTCTTTTCTACTATCGCTCGTATTAAAACAAAAAGAAAAATAGCCACTTAATACTACGATCTAATGATATTCCTTTTCACTTGTAAGTGAAAAGTCTTAGGTTTGATTATCGCCAAAGGTAAGTTTGAACCATATTATTGCTAACCCAGTGTGAGACTAAGTCCAACCCCCTTCCTTTTAGTGTAGATAATATCAATTGTCAAAAAAAAAAATGAAAAATACAAAGAGAAGATGAAAGTAATTTAGAATAGTGGGTCCAGAGTCCAAAGTGCAAACATGAAATGGGCCCATAATTGAATACAATCGTCCGTCTTCCACTTCACAGCTTCTGACGACAAAAACCGACGACGTTCAGCGGACACCTGCAGTCGTGGCCGAACGGATTCAGAGGAATCAAAACAACGACAACCCTTGATCGCATCGATTAGATTACAACGATTCGTGGCGTGGAAGCGATTTAATCGTTCGTTAATCGCATGGAAAAATCCTGGTAAAACCCTAAAACTTATTTTTTATTAGCAATATCTGTGAAATTTGGATTGCAAATTAGTTGGTAAGTTAATTCAATTTACGGATAATCAAGTTCAACTTTGATTGATTGCAAATGTAGTTGTATGTATTTCTTGTAAATCAGTTCATGCTGGATAGGGATTATTTATAAGAAGCAAATAAATGGCTAATTAGATGATAATTTAGTGGAATCCATCTGTATTTTTGCACTAATTATAGTAGGATACAACAAGTTAGGGTTCTAAATTAGAACAGAAATAATGCAAATTGAAATGTTGGTCCCTGGTGTTTCGGCGACTCTAAATTCCTAGCAGGTCGAAAAGAGGGGAACACCTAAGACCCCTATGTAATAATTGCAGTTTGATTTTTGCCCCTGTTGATGCACAAAATCGAGTGGACCTTGAATCAATGTAAAGACTAACGAGTGATGTGAGGACTTCGTGAGGGCGCTTTGGTCAAAGGTAGACTGACAAAGCTACCAGCAAGGAAGATAGAGTAAGTATCAAAGGGCACCGGTGTGGTACCGGCCTAAGAGCCTCCAATGCTTAAGTTAGCAAAGTAATTTTAGGGTGCCGCGTGGGTGAGTTTAGTGGTACTATAGTGTTGAATAGTAAATGTGATTAACCCTTTGAATGGAGTAGAGGTTACCTTTTTATAGGGGCAAAGTTGGAGAAGATTTCTTGACTTTGGCCAATGTGGGATTGAATTTATTTAATGTGGTGTTGCCACTTGTTGCATCATGATTGACTCCAACTTGGAGAGAAATCTCCCATTAGTTATGGGAATAGCCCCGTGTCTTGGCTCTCACTTGTTATGAGGTTGATTCGTGCGCTTAGACACCCTTGCTGAAGCGGGGATCCTTCGGATGGTTACCGAGGCTTCCTAGTTGATCTGTACTTGGCGGTTTCGAGGTCGATATAACATATACAAGCATCCCCAATTCTGCATTCCTTTTAAAGTTCGAATCACCATTTTCAATTTTGTCTGTTAAGTGCGCACTACAGGAAAATATTCACATGTTAAGCAGTTTCAAAGTGTTTGATCGATCAAGTCATTCCTTATTGAATAGTTTGAAGATTGGTATCTCATTTACTTTGTAATTGGTTTTAGATGTACTTTTCATGTATTTGGTTTCTTTCGTTCACTAGTCTGAGGCGAAGTATATAGCATCACTGTATCAGTATGAATGGCATAAAAATCTATATCCTAAGATGACAAAAGCACTGGTAATGCACCTAGGGAAACATGAATGTTGAATTCATAATGGCCTTGTGACCCAAATTTGGCATCTGTTTAAGTTCTGCTGATGTTTAAGCCTTTACATTTCAGGAGCTTTTTCTTTCGGTTTTCGGTTAGTTCTTATGAGGCAAATGAGCTTCATCATGTAATCCATGTTTATTTAGGACTTAAAAATCAAATTTGGTCCAATTTTGCATCTAATTATTTGCAAGTGCGTTCTTCATTCAGTTTGGTTGTATTTGGCAAGACAAGGAAACCAGTTGAAATATGGCTTGACATGTCTTATTTATACATTTTGGGGCTCTGTTCACTTGGAGTCTGGTGCCCTTTGATGGTCATATATCCTAGATTCCTGGTGCTTTGTGTGACTCAGAGAGTTACATTTGACTCGGGTCTGTTCTGTTTCCTGCTATTCGTAAATTACTAAATTTCATCCCTAGTATTTGCGCAATAATTTCTTTTCTCCAAAAAAAAAAAAAATGGTGCAATAATCTCCTGTTTAATGCAGTGTCAGTGAATTTGATGTTTATTTGTGAGTTAAAACACTTAATTTCTGTTTCTTATTAGTTGTATTTTGGCTGTTGGTGGAGCAGTTATGCAGTAGCATTTTTTTACCGGGTAGTCTACTAAGTTCTGTACGGTTCTCTGAACTCAGTCTTTGAATTTAACCTCGTCCACTTTCTGTGGAATCAGTTGGAAACTGGTTGCATGCTTATGTGGGTTTGGAACCCTAGTCCTTCGAGAATGCTAACCTGAAAGTAAATTCTAACTGGCTTTAATCGGAGATATTTGGTAATACATGTCATTGTTCCTTTCACATCTTGTTGTTGGTTTCTGCAGTGATTTTCTTATTGTCCTTGAAAAGTTTTACGTAGTTTCTTTCCGACTACGAGTGTTAGTTTGGAAACGATAGCTGTTATTTTGTATCTATAAAAGTTGGTTTGTGAGTTTAGGTTTGTTTTCGAGAGATGCTTAATGGAACTTTGGTTTTGTGAATATGCAGGCGTCAATGTATCACAGTCGCAGAACAATATCCGGTTTATGAGTCTCAATCGTCCAGGCATAACCATCCGAAGCGATCGAGACCTGCCATGGAAATCGTTACCACATTTCGTGTAAAATGGTTGTAATAAAACTTCGAACGTATGATAACGAATTAGAAAGCCAAATCACCAGTAAGGCACATGGAGCCTCCAAAGAGGTTCCTAAAATTAGGTTATTTGGACGAAAACCATCACCTGAATGGTTTCGTTCAAAAAACAAAATATTAAGTGAACGGGGAGGGAAGGAAATATTTTTATTTTTGGTGGACCTTTAGCGGCGATCTTCCTATCGCCATATAATATATTTTTTGCGGCGAAGAGTGACGACTTTGTTGTCGCAAAAAGTCACTTACATTTTTTAGACTTAAAAAATGGTCACTAAAAGTTGTAAAGTGGCCGCTAAAACCAGAAAACCGCCGCAATAGACACAAAATCGTCATTTTAGCCTCAGACTCACCAACTTTCTACTGTTTCAAGTGTTTTTGCTTCCGTTTTCTTCTCGATATTTATCTTCCTTCCATTAAATACTAGAAGGGATTTAACAAACCTTGTAAGAAGTATTTACGTCTCCTTTTCTTGGAAGTTATATCCTCAACCAAATTAGAAAGTCAAGAAGTAGCTTCTAAAGTATGTTTCTTTGCAACTAATGCTAGTGCGACTTATGAGACTTTTTTTCCATTTCATTTTCTGCAGAATGCACGATGTTGCAGCCAAATAATATCCAGTTAATGCTTAAGATTAATTTTACACTTGGAGTAGCTCTCGCATCAAGACTCCGCAATGCCTTCCCCCATTGCGCGGCGTATATCTACCAAGTCGAGCAAAGCAATATATATATATAATTGCAGAAGTAAGTTTGAATGTATATTTGTAGGGGTGATGGAATCATTAATACGAGCTTGAGCTATGGCAAGCACAAGCATGCCCATCAAAGACACAGCCCTAAAAACACCGGCATCCATATAGCGCTCATATGTCGTCGATTTTCGCTTTGAACTCTCGTTGATTATCGAAGTTTGATGGCGGAGGAACTGTAGTTAACACTACAGTTTGTAGGGCAACCGTGTTGTCATCTATAATGGTAATTCCAACAATTGCTAAGATGATTGTGTTGAATAACGGAAAAAGTCTCATATCGGCTAGAACAAATCAACATTCTAATTTTAATTGCATCAATGCGTTTTGTGATAAAGTTCCACGCCTATATATATGCACATGTGGTTAAGTTGACGACAATATCAGTGTGATTAGTGACGAACTATTAGTCCATCTCTTTGAAATCATTCAAGCTCTTGAAATGGAGCATAAATGAAAAGTGTACATGCACACAACCTTCAACCTTCTCAGATGTGTTTTCCATAAAAAAAAAATAAATCGAAATCAAATATTGATGACACATAAACTAAATATCATTGACAAAACGATATTTTATTTAGAGAGGATTTGGCTAGGCTACACAATGGGCCAACCACTAATTAGGTATCGAACTCAACACAAATATAATACATCCAAGATGGTCTAAGTTCAGATCTTTCACTTACAAGTAAAGAGAAATATTACTAATAAAATTCAATTCACAAAGGGATCGAGACCACCCTGGTTTCAGTATAGCTCTGTCGCTGTTTCTAGTCTAGACCACCCAAGTTCCTTCATAGCTCTGTCATTTCTATTTTCATTTTGAGGACTTAGAAATTAATTTTCCCTCTCTTTTTATCGCTAGTATTAAAGAAAAAAAAACAAAAAGATGAAAGTAATTTAGAAATAGTGGGTCCAAAGTGCAAAGTGCAAAGTGCAAAACACGAAATGGGTTCATAAGTCAAAAGAAATCAAAATCATCGGATCAAATAATTTAGATCTTTGAAATTTCATCTAACAGTAAAAAAAATTATTATAACATTTAAGGAATCAAAACAGATGGACCCTTAGATGAAATTTCAAAAATTCAAATCATTTGATCGGATGCTGTTAGTGGAAAAGATCCTCTCCGATCTCTTTCCCTCGTAAGCCAAAAGAAAACCCAGCTTCTCTGCTTCTCATTCTTTTTCCTTTCCACTTCACACAACTTCTGACGACCAAAAACGACCACGTGCGGCGGACACCTGCGGTCGTGGCAGAACCGATTCAGAGGAATCAAAACAACGACGACCCTTGATCGCATGGAGCACAACGATTTGGGGCGTGGAAGCGATTATATCGTTCGTTAATCACATGGAAGAATCCTGGTAAAACCCTAAAACGTAATTCTTGTTAGCAATATTTGTGAAATTTGGATTGCGAATTTGTTGGTAGGTTAATTCAATTTATGGCTAATTAAATTCAACTTTGATTGATTGCAAATGCAATTGTATGTATTTCCTGGAAATCAGTTCATGCTGGATAGGGATTATTTATCAGAATTCAAATAAATGGCTAATTAGATGATGATTTAGTTGAATTTATCTGTGTTTTTGCACCTAATTATAGTAGGATACAACAAGGAAGGGTTGCAAATTAGAACAGAAATACTTCGAAGTGAAATGTTGGTCCCTAGTGATTGGGCGGCTCTAAACTTCCGAGCACGTCAAAAAGAGGGAAACACCTAAGACCCTATTTGATTTTTGAGACCTCTCCTGTTGATGCACAAAATCGATTTGATCTTGAATCAATGTAAAGACTAAAGAGTGATGAGAGGGCATTCGTGAGGGCGCTCTGGTCAAAGGTAGACGGGCAAAGCAACCTGCAAGGAAGATAGTAAGTATCGAAGGGCGCCAGTGTGGTACTGGCCTAAGAGCCTTCGATGCTTAAGTTAGCTAGTAAGTTTAGGGTGCTGCGTGGGTGAGTTTAGTGGTAAATAGTGTTGAATAGTAAATGTGATTAACCCTTTGAATGGAGCAGAAGTTACCTTTTTATAGAGGTAAAGTTGGAGAAGATTTCTTGACTTTGGCCAATGTGGGTTTGGATGTATTGATGTGGTGTTGCACTTGTCGCATTGTGATTGACTCCAAGTTGGGGAGAAATCTCACATTAGGACTCACGGGAATAACCATGTATCGTGACTCTCACTTGTTGTGAGGTTAATTTGTGGGCTTCGGCACCCTTGTTGAAGCGGGGATCCTTTGGAGGGTTACTGAGGCTTCCTAGTTGACCAGTACTCGGTGGTTTCGAGGTCAATGTAATGTGGTACAACCATCCCCAATTCTGCATTTCTTTTAAAGTTTGAATCACCATTTTCAATTTTGTCCATAAGTACACACTACAGGAAAATGTTCACATGTTAATGCAGTTTCCAAGTGTTTGATCCAACAAGTTATTCCTTATCGAATAGTTTGAAGATTGGTATCTCATATACTTTGTAATTGGTTTTCGATGTACTTTTCGTGTATTTGGTTTCTTTCCTTCACTAGTCTGAGGTGAAGTATATAGCATCGCTGTATCAGTATGAATGGCGGAAAATTCTATATCCTAAAATGACAAAAGCACTAATAATGTACGTCGGGAAACATGAATGTCAAGTTCGTAATGGCCCTGTGACCTGATTTTGGTGTCTATTTTAAGTTCTGCTGATGTTTAAGCCTTTGCATTTCAGGAGCTTTTTCCGTTTGTTTTTGGTTATTTCTTATGTGGAAAATGAGCTTCATCAGGCCATCCATGTTTTATTTAGGACTTAAACATCAGTTTTTGTCTGAGTTTGCATCTCATTGTTTGCAAGTGCATATTGAGATTTCTCCATTCAGTTTGGTTGTATTTGGCAAGATAAGGAAATCAGTCGAATATAATGTGACGTCTTATTTATACCTTTTGGGGCTCTGTTCACTGGGTGTCTGGTGCCCTTTGATGGTCATGTATCCTAGATTCCTAGTGCTTTGTGTGACTCAGAGTGAGTTAGCTATTTGTAAATTACTAAATTTTATCCCTTGTATTTGTGCAATAATTTATTTTCTCAAAAAAAGAAAAAAAGAAGCAATAATCTCTTGTTTAATGCAGTGTCAGTGAATTTGATGTTTATTTGTGAGTTAAACAGTTGAATTTCTGTTTCTTATTAGTTGTATTTTGGCTGTTGTCGGACAGTTATGTAGTAACATTCTTTTTCCGTGTAGTCTACTAAGTTCTGTACGTTTCTCTGAACTCAGTCTTAGAATTTGACCTGGTTCACTTTCCGTGGAATTAGTTGGAAACTGGTTACATGCTTATGTGGGTTTGGAACCCTAGTCCTTCGAGAATGCTAACATGAAAATAAATTCGAACTGGCTGTGATCGGAGATATTTGGTAATACATGTTGTTATTCCTTTCTCATCTCGTTGTTATCATTGTCCGTTTCTCATCTTGTTGTTGGTTTCTGCAGTGATGTTTTTAATGTCCTTGAATTTTTTTACGAAGTTTTTTTCCGACTACAAGTGTTAGTTTGGGAAAAAAATAGCTGTTATTTTGTTTCTATAAAAGTTGATTTGCGAGTTTAGGCTTGTTTTGGGGAGATGCTTAATGGAACTTTGATTAGGTGTTTTTGCAGGCTTCGACGTAACACCGTCACGGATCAATGTCCAGGTTATAAGTCTCAGTGATCCAGGCATCACAGCTCACTTCGAATCATCTGAGAATCACTCAAGTACGGGCCAAGAGTCGGGAATTGTTACCAAATTTCGTTTGAAATGGTTGTAAGGCTTAATACTGTATCCGTAGATGGATCCTTCAAAAGGATCCCTAAAATTAGGTTATTGGACGAAAGCCATTAAAATGGTTGGAAGGATTAATATTGTATCCTTAGATGGATCCTTCAAGGGTCCATAAAATTAGGTTATTGGACGAAAACCATCACCTGAATGGTTCCGTAAAAAAAACAAAAATATTACCTTAAGAGTTGGGGGGAAGGGAAGCTTTTAATTTCTGTTGGACTTTTAGCGGCGACCTTTTAATCGCTACAAAAAATCTCTTTTGCAACGAATTGATTTGTTGCAAAAGGTTATTTACATCTTTTGCGACAACTAGCGAGGAATTTTATTGTCGCAAGAGAAAATTTATATCGTTTTCACATTTAAATGGTCACAAAAAGCCAGAAAATCGCTGCTAAAACATGAAAACCGCCGCAATAAATGAAAATCGTCATTTTAAACTTAAGACTCGTTACGTTCTGCTGATTCAAGTGCTTTTGCTTCTGTTTTCTGCTAGACATTTATCTTCCACCCCTTAAATACCACGGGCAACTCAGTAAAATCGTGGAAGAACTATTTTATGTCTTATTTTCTTGATGTTATATCCGCAATCTAAGTAGTAAGCTATGTAATAGCTTGTAAAATTGGAGGTCTTTCATGTTTAACTTTGTTTGCAACTATGACATATTTTCCACTTTATTTTCTGCAGCATGCATGCAAGACGTAGCAGCCAAATAGTGCAACGTATCTACACCGTCGTTGGGGGTAGTATCGGCCGGCTCCGGCTCCATTGTTCGTAAAGTTTCCATCTTCCGATGCTACATTCTAGTTTTATTTTTATTTTTTAATTGGGTTTAGGGTTTATGAAGTATAATTAGGCTCACATTGTATGAAACCCAAAAATCTTTGTTTGTTTCTCGAGAAAATAGAGGAAAAAGTGTAAAACATCTGAACAATTCATACTCATTGAAACAAAAAAAATGAAGAATCTAACAAAACGATTCATTCTACGTTCTCTTCAGTTTCAACATTTTACAGTACATAATATATAGTGTATAGTACAAGATTAATATACTAGAAGAAAGACTAAACTTTATACAAATTATAACTTTATATCATATACCACATCGGGAAGAAAAAAGTTGACTTCTGTATGAACTTGTTTGAGTAGAGTACAAATAGCTATAGAATCATATATAGGAACCAAAGCAATTAATCTTGTAAGTTGGTTTGTATTTCTTCGATTAATCCCATATTGCTTTATCTTACAGCAAATCAGGAATCAAGAGCATATCGTTTATCGACCTTCTGGATTGACGATCTGTGAGAAGATTGCGCTGGTGTCGCCGGTGTTCTCATTTGTGGTGGTGTTGTTGTTGTTGGATTCTTCACCCAAATCACTCTCACTTCCAAGGCTCAGGTTGCTGTAGTGTATTGCCATCATGTTCTGGTTTCTCAGATGGGGGTCGTCAGAGTCACTTCTCTCGCGTCTTGAGGAGTGACTCGAGCCATCTGTGTCGTCCTGCAACTGGAGCGCGAACTCGAGGTTCCACAAGATGTCGTTCAAAGTGGGGCGGTCCATTCCCGATTCAGACAAGCACTTCTCAGCTGTGTCTGCGAATTTCTTGACGCTTTCCATGTTGACTTTCCCCTTGAGGTGAGGATCAATGTTTTCCTCCACAATTCTTTTTCTTTGACAATGTAGAGCCCAATCTGCTAGACTGACCTGTTCCTTCGACAGGCTAGGGTTGAGAGCCGGCCTTGCAAACAACGCCTCGAAGAGGACAACTCCGAATGAGTAGACATCAGATTTTTCTGTCAGTTGTTGCCTCCTGAAGTATTCGGGATCTAAGTATCCGAAGCTACCCTTCACCACTGTACTAACATGGCCTTGATCCATGTTGGGACCAGTCTTTGAGAGCCCGAAATCAGAAACCTTGGCCTCCCAGTTCTCATCCAAGAGAATGTTTGTCGTCTTGACATCCCTGTGGATGATGGTCCACCTAGCGCCAGTGTGAAGGTAGTGAAGTCCCTTTGCTGCTCCAATACAGATCTCCAGCCTTTTCTTCCATGACAGTTGACCTTGAGATTTGTTGCCCTTGTACAGATGCTCTCGCATTGTTCCGCGTGACATGTAGTCATACACCAAGCACATTTCATTATCTTCTTCACAGAAACCAATCAGAGAGACCAAATGTTTATGCCTCAGCTCTGAAAGCATCTCAATTTCGGTCTGGAATTCGTTAACTCCTTGCTCTGATTGTGGGTTAGATCTCTTGATCGCCACTTTTGTTTCTCCATCGATGACACCCTTGTACACCTTTCCGAATCCTCCAACACCAATGACATTAGACTCGTCGAAATTCTTAGTAGCATGTTTCATCTCAGGGAAGGTGAAACGCCTACAACGGCCTTGAGCAGCTGACGACAAGTGGGTGCTAGCATTGCTCTTGCCTGAGATTGTTGATTTGGTGCCACTGGTATGGGAATTTCCGTAGATTGGTAGCCAGCTCGTAGTGTGTGTATCACTTCCCGGGGCCCTTTTCTTTCGTTGGTACACAGCAATGCACAATGCAGCAACTATGCCAAAGGCTGCAGCTCCTCCAGCAGCTCCGCCAATCACGTGAGCTTTGTTGGTACCGCTTCCTTCCTGCTGCTGCTGCTGACTTTGAAAGCTTCTCTTCTCTTGCTCGTCCTTCGCCAACATGTCAGAAATCTTGGGATTAGGGCCTGCCAAGTTTTTACCCTCTTCGAGCTTGAATATCTCCACCCCATTGAGGAGTGAATCGTAGAACTGAGGACTTGATTTCTTCGAAGGGTGCAAAGCTAGCCAGAGGTCACCATTAAAACCCTCATTGGCCACTACTACATAATCTCTGTATGTAGTCACCCCCCTTCCTCCTGTCCATCCGATCACATCTGCTTCAGCCTCGGCGGTTTGATTGTTAATGTAGATTGTGAACACTACTTGATTGGCTTTTGTGAGGTAAAAGTCACAAAAGTGTAACCTCACAAGGTACATGAATTTAGCATCGACTTGGTTGAACACCCACGTGAGATTATAACCGAGGTTGATGTCCTTCTTCTCACCCATTGATCTCGAGGTCCTGTAGATATCAACGGGAGCAATGTACGGTGGCATATCCTTGTAGTCAATTTTTACGTTCTTGGCGGCCTCGTTGGTGACCCCAAGTTGTGCACCATATACATAAGCAAAGTCATCGTACCATGTCCTTGTTAGCGTGCCGGAGTCATTGGTTGGGGAAATAAACTGCCCCCCAATATTCACTCTAAACATGGTCTGCAAATTTGAACTCTTGCCGTCAAAAGTCTGGTCTGAAGACCCGACTATTGCAGCATCGCCAAACATGTCAGGGACTCCAATCAGCTCAATTCCATTCACAAATGCAAACCCCGAGGAAGGCGAAAAGGTGACCTCTAGGGAATCCTTGTTGAGGGGTGCCAACATATACTCCCTGATGATATAAGCTTGTGTAAGGGCCCTGCAAGTGATTGAAGCGCTAAAGTTTTGCAAGAGAGTGATGCCATTCGCGACAACCGAAAAATAGGACCCCTCAGCGTTGTTACTGCCATACACAGCTGGATAGAAATAAAGTCTAAGCATGTAGCGCTGCTTGGGTTGCACAGGCAACTTGTACGTGGTATTCGCGGTGAAAATCCTGGCTTTCATGTATGGAACCTCGGAAAGAAGCGCAGGGTCCTGGTACTGCGCTTGTGCCGAGGTTGTCTTTGATGAATCGGCAAGGTACTTCTTGTCCGGTTGCCATTTCCTCCCATCCGCATCTTTGGCCTCATTATCAGCGCCACAGCCAAGGATCAGCGAATCTGAGCCCGGGTTTGCAGCATTGAGGCCGTTCAAGAACACGGATGCAAAGGCGAGAAATAGAAGAATTGGTGTTTTGATGTACATTGCTAGCTAATAAAAAAGAAAGAAGAAGAAAAAGAAAAAAGAGACGGAGGCCGAAAGCTCTGCCAACGGCGTACAGGAAAACGGAGGACTCCGATCAATAATGAAGAAGTATTGAAGAAGTATTTTAAGTTTTCCTGTACGCCCGGAAAAACGAAAAACGTTTTTTCGGTTTCTGGGTTTTGTTTGTATTCTTCTTCTATGGATGATGGTGTTAACCTACGCCATATCTAATCAAGCTCAAAAACGGTTAGCAGTCTTACCTGGACCTCAAGGACTCGACCAGGCAAGACGAAGACATAGACAAACGGTTGAATATTTGGTCGTCTTTTTTTTTTTTTTTTTTTTCTGTTAGCGTGGGAACTTTTGTTTGCCTAGTTCGTTTCGATTTCCGTTTCTGAGACGTCCGTTGTTGTTTGACAACCGGGAATGTAGTCAGAAACCGATGGTTCGGAGCAAGAATCGAAGATTGTACAGGTTTTGGTAGGTTGTGACAACGTTTGGAGTTCCTATTTGTAGTAAATAACAGGCTGAATTTAGCCCCTTTTTTTTAATGTTTTAGTTTCATAAGCTGGAGAACTGCTCTAACGACCTCCTGCAATGTAGAACAGAAGCATGGCCCAAGCTTTTAGGTCTCTTTGCAGTGAGATCTTTAACACAACGACTAATATGAAACCTCTCAAGTCTCAAAACTCTCAACCAACAATCTAAAGCTAAAATATCGATGGTGTTTCGTAGTGACTATAGAAGTTGAATATTTTGATCAACAAATGTTGTTTATACGATTGAACTCAAGACTTCTTATGACAAAGTAGAGATTGAATGTAGTTATTTACAGTTCTTAAAAGACATATAGTAAGTTTTTAAATGTTATTGACATTCTCAAAAGGTCATTCAAAACTTCTCTTGAATAAACACACGCACAAGAGAAAATGAACACAAAGAAATTGGAGGGTAACATTTTTCTGGTACCAATAAAGCTCTCTACATGAGTTGTCCTTCATTTGGAGGAGTGTATGACGATTGTTTATGAGTATTATTAACAACTCCCTTATTTTTTGAAGGAGACATTTGGTTCTCATCCCTCATTTGTCTATTTCATTGATTGAAGCCTTATGTTCAATTTTTGTTCAAGGCCGTTTAGTCATATCTACGTCATTGTTTCATTATTTACATATCAACATATTTAAATTTTTTAATCATTTTCAAATACATCCGTTTAGTGTTAGAAACATTACATTTGGTATATTTATATTTATAGCTAAATTTTGTATCACATATTTTTATTTTTAATTTGTACACATTTTTTTATTTTGCAACCATTCTTTTACTTTGTACCAATTTTCTTTTTAGTTTTAAGTTGTACGAATATATTTATTTTCTTTGTACCAATATTTTAAAATGTTATTTGTACCCATAAATTTTTTTAATGTTTTGTTGACCTATAACATATTTATAATGTACTCATCCATATATTTATAATGTACAATGTACCACTTTACTATATGTAAAATGTACCCTTTTTTTATATATAAAATGTACCCTTATTAAAAAATAAAACTTTTTTTTTTTGAAATAAAATATCTGATTAGATTTCACACCATTTAAATTTGAGAAAAAAAAAATTCCTATTTGGTATTAATCTTTGCATGATTTTAAGGAGAAATTTTTAACTATTTCCGTTATTAAATTTCTTAGTTAATACTAAAATTCAATATTTTGTCCTTCAATCAAAGTATTCAAATCAATAAAGTTGCAATCTAAGATTTCGGTCAACCAGGGAACACAACTAACAGCTCGTTTAGCTAAAAGATCATGCAAATGTGTATTACAGAGGTTGTCATCAATTGATCCAAATAGTAGCACTTGTATGTAAAAAAAAAAAAAAAAAAAGGTGATTTGATTTGCCACACTTTTTTTCTTCTTTTTTGAAGTGAATAAAGTAAAGAAGAATCACATAATATAAACTAAGCATAAGTGTCCACTATGAGAAAAATAGTTCGAAAATATTTTTTTATTTTATTATTATATTTTTTTTATTTAAAGGAAGATAACGGGTGGCAAGCCACCATTATCTACCTCTTTTGGGGACTGGGAAGACTCATAGAGACATTTCAGTCTCCTCCTGGACACAGGTCTGACTTCCAGACGAGGGCCACAAGAGGGCCACAAGTTTGGCTAGCTTCCACACTAGCAGCGGGTTTCGAACCTGAGACCTCCAGTTATTAGTTTTAAAAAAGTCTCGTAATCCGCCATTTACCACTGGATCACCATTCCAACTTGTGGTTAAATTAAAGAAGAATATTCCTCATATTTAAAAAGTGTAACATCTAGAATGATACTGTTGTCAAAGGTAGCTAGGTAACCATTGATCATGTTATCATTTTTTTTTAGTATCACTAGCTAAAAATCCAAAGACAAAACATACATAAATTTAGGAAGCATGCATGCACAAGATATTTGTTAGAATATGAGAAGATATGTACGTACTATGTACCTTCTAAAATTAACAAATTAATTAGGGAGGATTTTGGTTAGTGACAGTTTGAAACGGATGGTGGAAATGGCAACGGATGTGCGCGGCCACCGCAGGTCCATCCACCCTCGTTGTCCCCATTAAAGTTCTTCACACAACATCTGTGTTGAGCTGGTCGGGCTGGTGAGAGATCATGCACCTCAGAAACCCTAAAATATTGCTCTCTGATCCTTTCTCCTTCTGATTATCATTTTTGGGGAAGAAAAAAAAAACCCTCCCCCTCGCCCACCCAACCCCCGTCCCACGCTCAGATCGAAAGCACTTTCTTGTCCGGTTGGCGCGGTGGCTTCCTTCCGCTGCCGCTGCCACCACCACCACCTCGGGATTGAGTATATACACACACGCACGTATATAAACGTCATACCATACATTCATACTCTACACCATCGCGTACATACGTGCATGCATTTGGTTAATTAAGCAAACTCAACGTTGATTTGTTTAATTTATAATTAGTTACTTTAAAATGAAGGACGAGAACTTACACCGACGGCAGATTTCATCATCGTCGCCGTTATTGTCCCTTTCGTCCTCCGAGGAGGAGCTCCAACACATGCCGCTGGCGCCGCCCAAGACGTTGAGCCAGAAGCGCTTGAGCAAGCAGTTGTCCATGTGCGAGACGCCTAGGGACATCGCGTGGGAGAGGCGGCAGCGCCAGATTCTCAGCCAGGAGAGGAGGATGCATGGGATCAGAGACTCCGAGGACATGCATCTGACCGACGAGGACTTGCATGAGCTCAAAGGGTGCATTGAGCTAGGGTTTGGGTTCAATGAGGAGGAGGGTCAGAGGTTGAGCGCTACCTTGCCCGCTCTTGACCTTTACTTCGCCGTCAACCGCCAGTTTTCACTAAGCCCCGCGTCCACGCCGAATAGCGCTAGCGCCCGCCATTCTACGTCGTCAATGGGTGGACATTACTCGTCGTTTGGAAGCCCTAGGAGCGATACAGATGCATGGAAGATATGCAGTCCAGGTATGTGCTGACTTTCTATAATCACAAAAGTCTAACAAGAGAATATTTTCTTAATAAATATTATTAAACTAATCGCCACTTGATAATCAATAAAAGAAAATATGAAATGTATGGGAATTTCATATTATTGGTGACCATACTATGCATGAAATATTGTAGACAATTTATGATCATAGTAGTTAATTAGTATTTTGGATTAATTTTAACTGATTACATTGTATGTAATTATTCTAAAATGTTGGTAGTATATATATAGTTTCTTATACAACTTGATTGTGATTAGCATCCGTTGAAACATATTAATTTAATCTTATGGGTTTTGTAGGTGATAATCCTGAACAGGTGAAGACCAAGTTGAGGCATTGGGCACAAGCTGTGGCTTGCTCAGTGATCCAATCTTCTTGAAGAGTGGAATCATCATCAGATGGCTTTGCTTGTACAGAGGATCAAAAAGCAAAAGCAAAAGCAAAACACGAAAAAAGAGCTTGTTCTTGTTCATGAGTGAGTGGTGCAGATTAAGAAAATTGAAGTGTGAGATGGCTTTGCTTGTACAGAGGAAACTATTTCTACTTTCTAGAGAGAGAGAGAGAGACAGACATAGAATTATACAGGAAAAGGAGGAGAGAGGAGATCGAGAGGAGGAAGAAGATCGATAAGGTTATGATTAATTAGATATTAATTTCTGGAGTAATTTGTGCTACTAGTTGCCATATCAGAGAGATTGAACATGTTTAGTGGCATGCATGCATGCAAAAAACTGCAAATTAAGAAGGATCTATTGGCACTCATCAGATTTGGTTGGTTTGATTGGAGGATTAATCTGCTTAATTTTCTCATTAGTTTTGAATCCAACTAAATTTCTCTTGGTGCTCTGCGCAGAACGTTTATAATGTAAGATATCATTTTTGGGACACAGAGAGATTTGATGATGTATAATATCGGGGACATCTCACATGCATGCAACCACAACATTAGTAGCACATTCCGTTCCTATCGATCAATGTGAAAGTGGAATTGGAGGAATGTAAACAATTGCCTTTAATAAATAGACTCATATTCTTAGAAAAATTAATACTTTTATTAGTTATAGATGATAATTGTCAATACATATTGCATCGACTCATTTTTAGGAGAAAAATTTGGGTGGGGCTTTACTTGCCACTGGATTTGTTGAGTGACACTACAATTCAATCAAAACTCGTCACGTGACAAGTCTTAAATATTATATTTTATTATTTTTCTTTAATATTTAAAACTTTCATAATTATATTTCCTATTAATTGATATAAGATTAATTTAAGATTTCAATTTTCCTCTGATCTCCTCTGTCTTCCCTTTTTCTTCTCAAATTTTCTCTCTGCCAGTGCCGGCTTCTTCCCCACGCGGTGCGTTTCCTTCCTTCATAAGAATAATGGGAAAAAAAATTAAACCATCTTCTCCATCTATAACGAAATAAAACTGTGATATATATATATTCTAACATAGGCTTGATGTTTAACAAAATTTGTCTGTTCCTTTTTCTTCATTTTTTTTTTCCTCTTCTCATTCTCTCTTATTTTTCTTCCCCAGTTTTCTCTGCCGCGTGCAGTCTTCTTCCCCCTCTTTATTTCCTTTCTCCATAAGAATATGGGGCAAAAACAAAGTCATCTTCTCCAACTATCATGAAATGGAAAAAAAATATATATATTTATTTATTTATTTTTTTACAAAAGTTGTTTATTAATTTTTTTTTTTCAATTATAAGCACAATTTCATTGCCCAACAGCTCGTCCTGTTTTATATATCTCTGAGTTGTAATTTGCGTGTTTATATTTCTCCTATAAAGGAATAGAATATTTTGTTCCAAACTCTAAATACAATCTTGTAGACTCACTCCATACCATCAAGTTGATCTTTTCACAATTTATTGGTTATCCCTCACTTTATTTTGGTTGAAGTACAACTATTTTGGTTGATTATCCATCTTTAACATGATGGTAGAAGTGGGAGAGAGAGAAGAAACTGAAGACTTCTACGGCAAAACATAAAAGTACCAAAAGGGAAGATTTGGGAAGAAAAAGAGGGAGGGGGAGAAGAAAAATATACATCAAATTAATCTCATGATGTATATTAATTAGTAGGAAAAATAATTATGAGAATTTTAAATATAAAAGAATGATAAAAGATAATATTTAAGACTTACCATGTGGCAAGTTTTGATTGGATTGTAGTGCCACTCAGCAAAATCCAGTGGCAAGCAAAGCCCCACACAAGTTTTTCTCAGGGCTTCGCTTGCCACTGGATTTTGCTGAGTGGCACTACAATCCAATCAAAACTTGCCATATGGCAAGTCTTAAATATTATCTTTTATCATTCTTTTATATTTAAAATTCTCATAATTATTTTTCCTACTAATTAATATACATCATGAGATTAATTTGATGTATATTTTTCTTCTCCCCCTCCCTCTTTTTCTTCCCAATTTTTCCCTTTTGGTACTTTTATGTTTTGCCATAGAAGTCTTCAGTTTCTTCTCTCTCTCCCACTTCTACCATCATGTTAAAGATGGATAATCAACCAAAATAGTTGTACTTCAACCAAAATAAAGTGAGGGATACCAATAAATTGTGAAAAGATCAACTCGATGGTATGGAGTGAGTCTGCAAGATTGTATTTAGAGTTTGGAACAAAATATTCTATTCCTTTATAGGAGAAACATAAACACACAAATTACAACTCAAAGATATATAAAATAGGACGAGCTGTTGGGCAATGAAATTGTGCTTATAATTGAAAAAAAAAAATTAATAAACAGCTTTTGTAAAAAAAATAATAAATAAATAAATAAATAAATATTTTTTTTTCATTTCATGATAGTTGGAGAAGATGACTTTGTTTTTGCCCCATATTCTTATGGAGTAAGGAAATAAAGAGGGGGAAGAAGACTGCATACGGTAGAGGAAACTGGGGAAGAAAAATAAGAGAGAATGAGAAGAGGAAAAAAAAAATGAAAAAAAAAGGAACAGACAAATTTTGTTAAATATCAAGCGTGTGTTAGAATATATATATATATATATATATATCACAGTTTTATTTCGTTATAGATGGAGAAGATGGTTTAATTTTTTTTCCCATTATTCTTATGAAGGAAGGAAACGCACAGAGTGGGGAAGAAGCCGGCACTGGCAGAGAGAAAATTTGAGAAGAAAAAGGGAAGACTGAGGAGATCAGAGGAAAATTGAAATCTTAAATTAATCTTATATCAATTAATAGGAAATATAATTATGAAAGTTTTAAATATTAAAGAAAAATAATAAAAGATAATATTTAAGACTTGCCACGTGGTGAGTTTTGATTGGATTGTAGTGCCACTCAACAAAGTCCAGTGGCAAGTAAAGCCCCACCCAAGTTTTTCTCCATTTCTAGGGAATTAAAATCCTCTCCAGATTTTTGTGTTCAGAATCGACGGTTCAAAATATTAGAACCACTTAATTTAAATCTTGTGATCCTTATTAGCTCATATTATTGGCCCACTTTACACAAAATCAAGCTCTTGAACTAGATCTCTCTCTCTTAAACGCTCCAAATTTCTTAATTTGTTGACTCCGAACATAGAAATGCAGCGAGTATCTCAACTCATTTCTTGGCACCGAAAATATTACTTTTGTTACTTTGGTTTTATCTTTATGGTCAACTTGTGAATTTTACTATCAATCAACAAGGAATGCAAGCTTATTACTCAAGAAGATCGGAGAAAATTCTATGCAGATCACACTGATGTACTCATAGTAATTAAAATTGATGTACTTTCATCCATGACATAAGTTTTAATCTGCATCGCACATTGTGATGGTTAAATTAAAAGAAAAACTAAACAGATAGCTAGAAGAGGGGCCAATAATATTTTATGAAATTGTTTTCCAATTAACAAAAATAAAAACCAAATTGTTATTTGCCTTAAACTAGAAAGGTACAAAATGTACTGAAAATCCTACTAGTATTAGAAAATAATTGATACGTGAATATGAGTCCTAGAAAAGTTTTAACTTTTAAAATTTTATGTATTACATTCTTTCTGAACCTAGAATGTTCTAAGTGTATCCAAAGCTTCGTCAACTATGTACCTTTGATTTTGTCTTTTGCCTTTGAAAAACAACCCTAAACATTTCTTTTGGGAAGAGCATTGTCTTCTTGATCACTTCATAGAAGGATGGTTACTTTTTCTTTTTACTAAAGTGAAATCTAATATTGCCAATAAAAAAAATATAGTGAGCGAAAACAAAACTTTTGGAGAAGTATTTGACTAAGACAGTTTTGAACTCGTAACGTCAAGTAGAATCAAAATTGTCTTATAACATAGTCAGACAACATCATTGAAATTTTTTTCCGATAAAATTGAGTAACATGGGGTAAAAATAACTACACTTCAAGTAAAAAAACTCAGCAAAAAGTAAAGTTTGCCTTTGCAAAAATTGACCCTTTTTCTTTGTGTTTCCCATTTGCTATAAAAAATAATCATCCTCATCAAACAATCCGAATCCTTGAAATTTGGGGGTGTAGTCAAACTCGGATTTGAGAGTATTTTAAAAAACTTTAAAATCCTAGTGTAGTCAATTAAAAGATTTTAAAGGATTTTAGAATCTATTCAAATCTAGGTGTAGTTAATTAAAATATTTTAAAGGATTTTAAAATCCATCTAAATCTAAGTGTACTCAAAATTAAGATTTTGGAGGATTTCAATAAGTTGTGGATTTTGTGGGATTTGAGAGCAAGAAGTATATATAACCAAGACTAAAAAGAATCCAACCTCATCCCCTAGGATTTCAAATCCTTTTCCATATCTGGGCAATCCTCAAATCTCTACCAACCCTAGCCACACACAGGTAACCCCCATATACTTTGGTGGAATCTCTTATTATGACCCTTAGACCTTAATTAGGCATGTATGATCATCGAAGGACATCATTGATCTAGGATTTTGGTTAATACTACTCTCTTGCCATTCTGATTTTTTAATGTTTGTGGTACTACAAGCACTATTAAAGTACCACAGCGTACGCCTGTAGCAAAAAGGCAGTCGATGATGAAGGTTGTTGGTGGTGTAGTGCTCAAAAGCTCACCAAAGTTATGTTGAACTATCAATTGAGAAAGAGATGGAGCCGTGGTTGTGTGAAAGGGGACCCGAAAATGGAAGGGATAAAGTGGCTATTGAGTACAGGGCAAGGGGATAGATTTTTCCCTTTTTTTTCAATAAAAAAATTATATGAAGATCCACCACAATCTACCAAAATCTACAAACGAAATCCATTCAAATTCTTTAAAATCCATATTAATTTTGTAGGAGTCTTAAATCCTCCTAAATCCTATCAAATCTATCACTTTCTATAATCACAAAAGTCTAACAAGAGAACATTTTCTTAATAAATATTATTAAACTAATCGCCACTTGATAATCAATAAAAGAAAATATGAAATGTGAGAATTTCATATTATTGGTGACCATACTATATATGCATGAAATATTGTAGATAATTTATGATCATAGTAGTTAATTAGTATTTTGGATTAATTTTAACTGATTACATTATATGTAATTATTCTAAAATGTTGGTAGTATATATATAGTTTCTTATAAAATTACCAATACAACTTGATTGTGATTAGCATCCGTTGAAACATATTAATTTAATCTTATGGGTTTTGTAGGTGATAATCCTGAACAGGTGAAGACAAAGTTGAGGCATTGAGCACAAGCTGTGGCTTGCTCGGTGATCCAATCTTCTTGAAGAGTGGAATCATCATCAGATGGCTTTGCTTGTACAGAGGATCAAAAAGCAAAAGCAAAAGCAAAACACGAAAAAAGAGCTTGTCCTTGTTCTTGTTCTTGTTCATGAGTGAGTGGTGCAGATTAAGAAAATTAAAGTGTGAGATGGCTTTGCTTGTACAGAGGAAACTATTTCTACTTTCTAGAGAGAAAGAGAGAGACAGATACAGAATTATACAGGAAAAGGAGGAGAGAGGAGATCGAGAGGAGGAAGAAGATCGATAAGGTTATGATTAATTAGATATTAATTTCTGGAGTAATTTGTGCTACTAGTTACCATATCAGAGAGATTGAACATGTTTAGTGGCATGCATGCGTGCAAAAAACTGCAAATTAAGAAGGATCTATTGGCACCCATCGGACTCTTGGTTGGAGGATTAATCTGCTTAATTTTCTAATTAGTTTTGAATCCAATTAAATTTCTCTTGGATGCTCTGCGCAGCACGTTGATCATGTAAGACATCATTTTCGAAACTGGATCCCCTCCTGAGCTTAACAAAGGATCCCGGCCATTGAAATTTGATCCAACAACCACAAACAAAGAATCTCTTTAAAAGTTATAATAATTACAGCCGTTTGATCAAATTCCAACTGCCCGAATCATTTGCTCATGAGGCTTAGCCTCCTAAGTTCAGGGAGGGGATCCAGTTTATCATTTTTGGGACACAGAGAGATTTGATGATGTATAATATTGGGGACATCCCACATGCATGCAACCACACCATTAGTAACACATCCAACGGCCCAGATCATTTGCTCAGGAGGCTCAGTCTCCTAAGTTCAGGGAGGGGATCCGGTTCCATCATTTTTGGGACATAGAGAGATTGGATGATGTATAATATTGGGGACATCCCACATGCATGCAACCACACCATTAGTAGCACATCCGATCTTATCGATCAATGCGAAAGTGGAATTGAAGGAATGTAAACAATTGCCCTTGCTAAATAGAACTCGTATTCTTAGAAAAATTAATACTTTTATGAGCGTTTTAACGAAACACTTTTAGTATTGTTCATTTTTAACGAAAAATCATATTTTTACCTTTTCTTGGTACTATTTACTACATCTTTATTTGTCATTTTTCGTTAAAACTAAAGTTTTTTTTTTAACTTTTTGTTAATTTTCCTTACTTTTATTAGTTACAGATGATAATTGTCAATACATATTGCATCGACTCATTTCTAGGGAATTAAAATTATCTTTAAATTTTTGTGTTTAGAGTTGACGGTTCAAAATATTAGGACCACTCAATTTAAATCTTGTGACCCTCATTAGCTCATATTATTGGCCTACTTCACTCAAAAACAAGTTCTTGAATCGTTTGGATCTCTCTCTTAAACGTTCCAAATTTCTTAATTTGTTGGCTCCGAACATAAAAATGCGGCGAGTATCTCAACGCATTTCTTGGCACTGAAAATATTACTTTTGTTACTTTGGTTTTATCTTTATGGTCAACCTGTGAATTTTACTATCAATCAACAAGGACTGCAAGCTTATTACTCAAGAAGATCGGAGAAAATTCTATGGAGATCACACTGATGTACTCATATTAATTAAAATTGATGTACTTTCATCCATGACATAAGTTTTAATCTGCATCGCACATTGTGCTGGTTACATTAAAAGAAAAACAAAACAGATAGCTGGAAGAGGGGCCAATAATATTTTACGAAATTGTTTTCCAATTAACAAAAATAAAAACCAAATTGTTATTTGCCTTAAACTAGAAAGGTACAAAATATACTGAAAATCCTATTAGTATTAGAAAATAATTGATACGTGAATATGTGAGTCCTAGAAAAGTTTTAACTTTTAAAATTTTATGTATTACGTTTTTTCTTAACCTAGAATGTTCTAAGTGTATCCAAAGCTTCGTCAACTATGTACCCTTGATTTTGTCTTTTGCCTTTGAAAAACAACCCTACACATTTCTTTTGGGAGGAGCATTGTCTCCTTGATCACTTCATAGAAGGATGATTACTTTCTCTTTTTACTAAAGTGAAATCTAAACGAGAAATATTGCCAATAAAAAAAAAATATAGCGAGCGAAAACAAAATTTTTGGAGAATTATTTGACTAAGACAGTCTTGAACTCGTAGAATTAAGTAGAATCAAAATATAAAACGTTTTATTATTTTGTAAGAGATGTCTAATGATATGGTCAGACAACAGTATCAAAGATTTTTTCTGATAAAATTGAGTATAAAAATAACTACACTTCAAGTAAAAACTCATTAAAAAGTAAAGTTTGCCTCCGCAAAAATTGACCCTTTTTCTTTGTGTTTCCCATTTGCTGAGAAATGGATCATCTCTGGATCTCTTCCGCCTAATTCCTTCGTCAAACAATTTGAATACTTAAAATTTAATCAGATATTATAATTTTTTTCTTAAGGAGAGTCATAAACCATAAACCCCAGAAACACTAGGCTCCTCCTCCGCCGTCTCTGCGTCTCTCTGCGTCTCTCTGTGTCTCAACCCAACCGAAAGTTGAACTCTTTCTGCTCACACCTTCAAAAACCCAACGACATAAACTACTTCTTCTTCTCTCTACCCTCCCCATGGCCGCTGACGCTTCTGCTGCCCTTGCAGGTTCCTTCTCTAACTCTTATCACTCACCCCTTTTCTTTGAATCTGGTTTCTGAGGCAAAAAGTTCACTAATTTATGATTGCCCATGATTTTTAATTCGTATGTATGTGTATATATTGATGCATAATCCCAATTTCTTTTGAATTCGTATCATTTTGTAAATTTCAAGATTGCTCCTTTACTCTTATGTAAAAGTAGAAAAGTAATTCTTTGATTTACTGCAGTGAGGGATAAAGTTCAACAATTTCTCAATGCTGCTGTTACTGGGAATCTTGATCTCCTAAAGAGTGAGCAAAAATGCCTCATCTTTCTTGTGACGAATTGGGTTTTTTTAGCTTGTTTTAATTTGCTGTGGTTGTAATTGAATAGTTCCACAATTTCTCAATGATTTGTTAAATTTTTATTGGGGTTTTGTTTCCGGTAGATTTGGCCCGGCAGCTTGATGAAGGGAAGGATTTGGCCAAAACTGTGGCTGATATTAAGGATGCCAACAAGCGAGGGGCCCTTCATTTTGCTGCGAGAGAAGGCAAAACTGAGGTGTGCAAGTACTTGCTGGAGGAACTGAAACTTGACGTTGATACAAAGGATGAAGACGGTATGTGCTTTGTGTTATACCGTATATGTTTTTATTAAACGAGACCAGAGTGCGACTTTAGAATCTCTATGGGTGATATAGAAACTTAAGCAGATACATGCTTTTAATCTAAGAGCTTTGCATTTATTGGCATACCATGAGTCTAATTGGTAGAAATTTTTACTGTTTGCAGGTGAAACTGCTCTTATCCATGCTGCTCGGCAAGGACATACGGAAACTGCAAAATACCTTCTTGATTCTGGTGCCAATCCTGGGATAGCTAGTGAATTGGGAGCCACAGCTCTTCATCATTCTGCTGGATTAGGTGAGCTTTCTAAACTCTAATTTAGTTTTGTAAATGTTAAGCTCTCATAGTAGCGTTTCATCAATAAATGGTTTGTGCTTGTTTGCAGGAGACATTGAGTTGTTGAGGTATTTGATTTCCAAAGGTGCTGATGTTAATTCACAAAGTGACGCTGGAAGCCCTTTAATTTGGGCTGCTGGTCATGGTCAACAAGATGCCGTGAAAGTTCTATTAGAACACAATGCTAATGTAAGCTTTTGAGTATTTAAATACATGTTTTTTTTTTTTTTTGAAGTTCTGTTGATGAAGTGTCTATAATATGGGTACCTCTTCGTGAAGATAGCAGAAACTAGCCCATGCTTTTAGGGTCTCTCTCAGTTCCCGTCATATTTGTCGTATGAACAATGGGGCCCTTATCTGCAAAACGTTCTCATTTTATACATCATATAGTATTATATTTATTTCTACAACTTGCTTTTGTGGATTTTCTGTTTTCAAACTTGGTTCACTTGTAATTCTGGTAATTCCTTGATAATTGTGTTATAACAAAGTGTTTTCTTAATGTCACTGAACCATGCGGTGAGATTTTCGTATGTTGTTCATTTATCTGGTTTCTGTTTTGCAGCCAAATGCTGAAAATGATGACAATATTACGCCTTTGCTGTCATCTGTTGCTGCTGGTTCACTGCCATGCTTAGAATTATTGATTCAGGTTCGGTTTTCTGTCATAGTATTCCGGTAATATAGCAAAACGAGTTTGCAAGTGGCATGTAAATGATTTCTACCCTTTTTGTTTTTGGGGCGGGGGCAAATACGAGATTTTATATATGCTTTAACAATTTATAAGTCAATATGAATTCAATTTTTATTTGTATAGAGTTGGTAAGGATTCTGGACACATTAATCTTTCTATAATCATTCTACCTGCGTAATTTTCTTTTCGATTTTATTGTATAGGCTGGTGCCAAAGTAAATATTAGTGCTGGTGGAGCAACCCCTTTGCACATTGCTGCCGATATTGGGAGCCCAGAGATTTTGCAATTATTGTTAAAAGGTGGAGGTGATCCCAATATCACTGATGAGGTAGTTCACCGTCCCTATGTATGAATTATCTTTTCTTATCATTAGAAAATGGTGATTTCCTTCTTTCTATAATTTGGATTGTCCAATCTTTTAGTAGCACATAGATTGATGTTGACTTTTTATTTCACCCCAGGATGGCTTGAAGCCAATACAGGTTGCAGCTGGAAGAGGGAACCGCAGTGCCGTTGAGATTCTCTTTCCCTTGACATCAAAAGTTGAAAGTATCCCGAAATGGACGGTTGACGGCATACTTGAGTATATGCAGTCTGAAACAAGCAGACAACAGGTACCAAGGTCTTGACATTTCATATTATACATCCACAAAGCTACATAATAATAGGTTGCTTCGATTTGCCCCAATTTTGCCTTATAAACTATGTTTTGCATATGAACACATAACATAACAGCATTCTCTAGATTTTGCTCCCATTTAAGCTACCTCTGGCATGTCAAAATTTTCAGGAAGCAGTGGGAAATTTCAAGGAACTTAATGTGTCGAAAGACTCTGCTTCACCGAAGAAAGATCTGCCTGAGGTGCTCACTTTTACCCAGTAACTTAACGTAGCATACTGGCTTATAGATATACTTTGTGTATTCTTGAAATATGATTAGCATTAAGATTTAAATTGTTTTGCATTTACGTCTTAACAACTTCTTCAGGTGTCACCTGAAGCAAAGAAGAAAGCTGCAGAAGCAAAATCAAGAGGAACTGATGCTTTCAAAAGAAGGGATTATCAGATGGCCATTGATGCGTATACACAGGTGTAGTATACATCTTTCTCTGCTACTAGTATTAATCATTTTCCTAGTTGTGTTGCGAGTTATGATTCATTTGGTCAGTCCCATGCTTAAGACAAGTTTATTGGACTACTGTGGGTCCTGTTCGATATAGAATAGTACAAGGGCAACGTTTGATTGTTGTGATGTACAATTGAAAAATAGTTCAGATGACTGCTTTGTGAAGTGTGCGTGATGGGGAAAACAACCGACCTGCTTTGCTTATGAAATACTGCTGCTAAAATTCGGTGGCTTTGTATTTTCAGGCTATTGATCTGGACCCAACCGATGCGACTTTGTTTTCTAACCGAAGCCTTTGTTGGATGTGTCTTGGTCAACCCGAGCATGCATTAGCTGACGGAAAGACCTCCCGGGAATTAAAGCCAGAATGGGGAAAGGCTTGGTACCGAGAAGGTGCAGCGTTGCGACTGTTGGAGGCATGTACTCATCTTCCCACATATTCAAATATAATTTTTCTAAGAAAAAAGAACAATATCCAAGAAATATTATTTGTTACTGCAGAAGTTTGATGAAGCTGCCAATTCTTTCTATGAGGGCGTGAGGCGGGATCCCGAAAATAAGGCACTTGTAGATGCTTTCAGGTTTGTATTCGAAAACTCCTCGGATTCTTCCTCCTTCTTTCAGGTTTGGTTCACCTGCTCTGGTTTTTCAAGTGCTAACTGCTTGCCCTTTACAGAGAAGCGGTTGAAGCTGGACGGAAATTTCATGGCGCTGAAGAACAGAAACCATAGTTTGCCGGATGCCTGTATCCAAAGACGACCAGTCAGCAGGAGGCGGACCCGCTATTATGCCGGATTGAGATCGTTTCCCCTTCTTTCATCATAGTGGTGTGCTGTTCTAATTAGAAACTGAGATTGCTATAGTAATTCCGGTGGCTTTCCTTTCTTCAATTTTGTTAGGGATAAATGTTTGTGATTTTGTGGTAGTGTTTTCGAGTAATTCGTACCCTCTTTATTTGCCTATTGTTCCTCCCGTCTAAATCGGGGGCTGACCAACTAACTTAACTCACGTCTAACATTAAATTACAGAATAACGTACAACACCATCAACAAACAACGCTATCACAGAGCCACGACAACAATGCTGTCACTTGGGTTAAAAAAAAAAAAAAAATAACAACGTACAACATCAGCTGATCACAGAGCCATCTAAACTCATCACAACTGGTTCTTTGTACAACTCCCTCCTTGATTATCCCTATGTCTGTCACAGTAAAGCATCTCTACTATCTACATGTCGCTGTCATTACTACGGCGGCGATGGCGATTCCGATTACGTTTGGACTTGAGCTGCTTCCGGGACCTATTGACAGCGGCATTGTCACGAGGCGTCGTGCATTTTCTCACTGAACTACTGTACGAGCCAGAATTGAAATGACGTGGTGCATCATTTGTAAAATCTTTTGTTTGATGCAACTTTCGTCGTAACATCTGTCAACTGATATAAGTTTTACACTAAAAAGAGGAAATTAGGCTAAAATGGCACAATATACGAGTCACAATAATGTAGTATCGAACTCTTCATCAACGGAAATTGAAACCTTGAAGTCCAACCCATTTTCCTCATTGTTCACGTAAACGCCACGTCACAAGTGACGAATAAAAACTGAAACTTGACGTTATGATACAGAAGGGCACCACTATTTTTAAAGCAAAATTCCAGTTGTGTTCCAACAACAAACTACTTTTTCCCACTTAATTAAAAAAAAAATATATATATATATATATATATATATATTATATCTCGCACCAAAATTCCCCCAATTTCCAGTTTCCACCAACAATGCCGCTAAAAACACCGGCGGGTTACGGCGGCACCACCGTCACCGCCGCCCAAATCGACCCGCAAACCTCCAAATACCTCACCTTCACCTCCCGCCCTGTACCCCAGACCTCCTCCCAACCCCTGTACCCCACTCTCAACTCCCAAACCGTGTACCCGACGAGTCGCCCATGGCCCGAGATCTTCTCCCTCACCTCCTTCTCCGTACCCTACAACTACGCCGACGCAATTGCACGAATCAAGCGCAACACCGCCTACTTCCGCGTCAACTACGTCATGGCGACGCTCTTCATCGTCTTCTGCAGCCTCCTCTGGCACCCGATCTCTATGATCGTCTTCCTCATCGTCCTCGTCGCCTGGCTCGCCCTCTACTTCTTCCGCACCACCCCCGTTGTTCTGTTCAATCAGACCTTCGACGACAGGGTCGTCACCGTCGTGCTGGGATTGGTCACTGTCGTGGCGCTGGTATTCACTCACGTGGGTTTAAACGTGCTGGTGGCACTGATCGTCGCCGCCGTGGTTATTGGGCTCCACGCGGCGTTTCGCGTGACGGAAGACTTGTTTCTCGACGAGGAGACCGCCGCGGAAAATGGGTTGGTCTCGGTTGTTTCTAGCCAGCAGACCCTCCGCCCTCCGACTTCTTACACCCGGATTTGAGTTGAACCCGGTAAAATCGGGTTTTCGGGAATTCGGATTTACGGTTTACTGAGGGGGTTGGATATTTTTTACCGGGAAAATTGGAATTTTTGTGCGAATTTTTTGGAGGGCTGAAATTGTAGAGAGAAAATATAGCGATTGCAGTGGCAAAGGTGTTTGATTTTTTGATTTTTTGATTTTTTTTTTATTTTTATATCAAATGGTTGGTAAAGTTTCATTAGCACTACTTCTGTAACAGTTTGTGGTGTATTTTCTAGTCTATTCGGAGTAACATAAAATTGTCGTTTCAATTGGTTTTCTGTTAAATATAAAAATGTTATGGCGATTATGTTTTATTACGACTTTTCATGAAGTTTAGTGTTATAGAGATGTTGTATAATTCCAGATGGACATATGATTGGAATTACATCAAAAGAGAGACTTCAATAGGACTATTATGATTATAGTAACTTTCGTCTTGGATGTGATCAAAATAAGAGAGAATACGCATTTTTATTTTTTATGTTGTATTAATGCTTGCTTGCAACAAAGTTTGAGAAATCTTCAATAGGAAAAGCTTGATGGAGTACTTGGTTGGGCACTCTCACAAGGAATGCGACTTCGTGTATTGAGAACTATACTTATAGAAAGTTGAATGATATCCTTATACGGGCTGAGTGGCGTGACCAACTACATAATCAAACCTTCTTATTAAAGGTATAACATTATGCAACTCGAAGCAAATGAAACTCATATATTGAGTAAGAAAGTATACACACTATTTTAATTGAATTCATCTAATTTTATACATCCATATATTTATTAATCTTTGGATTGGGTAAATGAAAAACAAATTAAGAGATAAAAATAAACCATGACATAGAAGGAGAAAAAGAGCATGAAAATCATTTCTCTATGTTTAATAACTGAATTAGTCCTCCAATCCACGAATGAATGGAATATTTGTAGGTGTAAGCCATGAGTCCCCCTCAATAAACTTGGCTGTTGTAAACTCATCAGCCTCGCCCGGGTTCTCAATCACATGGTAACCGGGCCAATTGACCCGGCTCGAAAGCCCGGCACCTGGCCCATTATTCGTGTACTCACCGTAGTACAAAGTGTCGAGTGCAGATTTCCCCTTCCATTCAATCCAACCCTGTGGTTGTATAACATTGCTAATGTACGACTGCATGAAAACTGTACGTGAATACTTTCCCCAAGGCCGACCTAAGTACCCGGCGGCTACGTCGGAGTCAGCGGAGATAGTACAAAACTGGAAGGAGAAGCCGGTGGGGTCGTTAGGGGCGTAGCGGCCGTGAGCGGTGACAGTGTTGATTACGGCAGGTATAGTTTTCTTGACGGTGATCAAACACTTTTGGAAAACAGCAGCGCCGTAGCCAAAGATGAAGTCGAGGCTGCCACTGATTTGGCATTCTCGAAAGAACTGACGACCGGCATGCACAAGCAACGTGTCTTGGTATCCGCTGATCTTGCAACGGTAGAAAACTGCGCGATCGCCGCCGGATAGAAGCGCAACTGCCTGATAGTTTTCTGGTCCGGCTGTGTTCTCAAACCCTATGTCCATCGCAATGAATCCATCTGCAGAAACCGCTGAAATAGAAATAGTTCACGATAACATGTTATCTTGTCAGACTGTTATTCGATATGAATTTTTAGGTAACTCAAACCATATGTCCATTCTGGTGCCATACCAAATGTTGCAGAATAAAATGTTTCCCAACCACCACGAAAGCTTCGACTGCCGGAAATCGTAGTAACGTCCATGCCCTCGCCGATTAGGACCAGATTGCACTTCGAGCCGTCGATGTTCACGTTCTCCTTGTACACTCCTCTCTTAACAAAAATCACGAAGTAATTCTGGCTGTGACTCGGAGCCACCGCCAGGGCCTCCGTAATTGTTCTGAAATTCCCACTCCCGTCTTGAGAAACGGTGACGTTCGGAGTTTTCCAGAAGTCCAGGCCAGCCGTGGCTTCAATACGACCAGGTTTCGCTTGCAACATTTTGAGCAGATCCTGGGTTGATGAGCTCACTTGCTTGAAGCTCTGTGCAATCATGGAGTATCTGGTCCCATCAAATGCTTCCATGCATGTCTTTTGTCTCTCAATATTTGCATTTAACCTTGTTCTTGCATGGGAAATGACATCACCATTCCCATTGTATTGTTTATAATCTGTATGAGACTTTGCGTAATTTAGTTATTTTTCTACACGGATATGTGAAAATAAATTCGGTTACAAGTTTTTGTCAAAACATAATTGGAGAGACAATAAACAGAAAATCAAGATTGCACTAAACCTTAGATTATATATGATTTATTGTCTGTCTACGTTTAGTGTGATATATTTTTGTTTTTAACTAAAAAAGTTTCGGAAAATGTGCAAAATAAAACCGATTAAAAAGAATAAAGAAGTAATAACACTAGCTTAATTACGCCTTATAGTTGGTTTAGCGTCCAATTCCAGTTTGGGTTTTGGAAAAAGTAGTCACTAATTCATGAAAGAAACTAAGAGATGGTTAAGAATTTAGACCTTGATGAACTGTAGATAGGGACCAATTCATGGCTTCATAGGTTGAACCAAGAACAGATCGACAGTGTGAAATAGCTATTTTCAGATTTCGATCATCATCTTCGGCATCGGCGTCGGGATCAGCATACATGTGGATGTTCGACATAGCAGAGGCCACATTTTGTACAAGCTCCATGGTTGAGTCCAGTGACCTTTCGAGCACAGGTGAAGGCACGTTTTTGTAGTGGGAGCCAATAAAACTAGCACAAGTGTTCATCGACAGAGCACAGAGGCAAATGGTGAAGAAGATGGAACGGCAGGGAAGCTTCATCTTCATCAATGGACTCATGCGTGAGAAGCAAAGAATGAATTATCGTGATCCCCAGCCTCTACATTTATCGAGCATGCTTATATATTTCATAAAAATGTATGCAGAAACATGAATGGTAACGGGCAAATTTCATGGCGGGATCGAATAATTACCATTAATTATGGACGTTAATATAATCGTGCAGCAAACAATTACTCTGGGATTTGTTTCTGATTAAATCCATATCACACTTATTTATTTCCAAAAATTTATCATTTTCTTCCCATTTTTGTTTCATTAATTAGGAATTCTCGCATGTTTAACTTTGTGTTTTTCTTTGACCCTACTACTTTCTTTGTTTAGCTAAGCTGAAGTCAATTTCGATTCCTTCATTTGAACAGAACAGTATTCTCTCCCCTCCAAATTCCTTCTCCTCTCTTTGGGGTTTTCATGGCATCAATGTAGCTATTGGTGCAAATAGTATTGCCTAAAAGTCCTAATACAAAGACTGCACCCCAAAAAACCAAAAAGACTTGCAGATGTTGCATGGAGCTTGATTCCGTTTGCTTCTTCTGTTTTTATATTATTTTTTCTTCTCTGTCGGTGTAGTCTGACAACACCCCAAAATCATGGCATCAATGTAGCTATTGGTGCAAATAGTATTGCCTAAAAGTCCTAACACAAAAACTGCATCCCAAAAAGCCAAACAAACTTGCAGATAGTAGTATATACAAGCTAAAAATAGAGTTAAAAATCAAAGGGTGTAAAAATAAATCACATATTGAATTGGATTTATGAGGATATATTAGGTAGTAAAATAGGTTTTAAAGAGATATTAATAGTTTAGTTAAAAATCAAATGGATGCAAAGAGTAAGTTGAGTATCGAAAAAAATTAAATGAGTTGAAATGAAATGCCCCTTGATTTAAGCATGTTAGAAATTTGACCATTTGAGTTACAAGTCGTTGAGTAAGAATCGAAAGCCGGTCAAAGCTTGGCCACTTTGTGGAGGAAAATTCAAGAGGTAGGCACCATATCTTGGCCAACAAACTTAACCTACATTTGCCGAATTTCAGGGTTTTACTGCAAAAATCTCAATCGACTTTCTGAAATAAAGAAGTGGAACAAGTTTCTTCATGTATTAAAACTATAAGTGAACAATTCCTTCTAAAAACAACATTCAACAGTGAAATTCATATCAACAGCAAATCATTCGAGAAACGGAACCACGGAAACAAAGTCACGCTTTTAATCCTCCTCTAGATTGATGGAGTCCTTGAACTTTCCATACAGAATTTTCTTCAACTCGGCCATCTGTGCAAGAATAGATTCCTTCTCTTCTTCAAGTTTCTCTAAACTTTTGCTCGTCGCCTCTTGCATCTCCTCTATCCTGCTCTCCACTTCTTCTTTCGGCACGTGGGCAAAGACTTCACCTATCTGGAACCGGACCACCTCCTCGTCAGTGAGAATCAACTCGTTGCTAGCATCCTCCAGATTATCCTTTGATTCCTGGACGGCAAAATGAGATCAAAAGAAGGCACAGCCTATAATCCAGTTGATGTTCAGGTTCAACTGTTAACGGTAATACCCATAACTGAGAGTTCAGAACCGATCTGATATAATTCTTAAGTAACTTTGACACGTTAAAACAATATTGGAAACTGAATTAACTTTTTTGAAGGTAGAAATTGGATTAACTTGGTTTAAGAGGAAAATTGCAATATCCGAAGAACATTTATGTCACAAAATGATCACCGACTAATCAATAGACTAGAGAATCGACCATAAGGCTCCCAAGGAAAACAAAAAAGGTAGACCAAATTCAAAATGTATAGGCCTTTATCCCTGCTTGAAGAGACAATATAACTCCCAAGGAAAACCAATTGTGCTAAAGTAAACTTTGATACAAAGATACACTTAAAATTATCATCACACAGAATCCCGGCATAGAGGATCACGATAAATTTGATGATTAGTCAGTTGGCACATATCAGGAACCCTATTCCACACCGGCCAACAAGTTTTTCATGTTAAACCATCCACTAAAACCATAGAATCAAACGCAATTCCGATGTCAACATTTGTCAAAGCGACTTTCTGAAAGAAATGCCGATTGTACAACATAAAACTCGTTGCTTTCAGGCTAGTTTGAGAAATCACCTGGTGCAACAATCCCCCAAAACCTAGAAGACTAACGAACAAGTCAATCCGTCTTCAGCATAGCAGCACTTTCAGATTACAATCATGGTAAAAGTTCTATAAACCTTCGACACTAATCCATTAAAACAAGTTTAATTCTGACCTTATCAAATGCAAGACAAAAAACAGAACATGGCATTCTCCAATTTTTTGCAATCACATCAAGTACAGGGACAAAAAGACTTAATCTTTAAACAGAAAGAAGAACAAAAAATCTAAGCAACCAAAAACCCATAAAATTAAAGCAAATTTACAACTTGGGTGGACGAATTATCGAACCCCATCTCAAGAAATTCAACGAAATTCAGTTTCAAAACCAAAATAAATAAAAATCCCATTTAAACATAAAGAGAAAAAAAAGTCAAAAGATTTTACCTTGGCAAATTTGATCTCGTCCTCGAGCTCGTGAAACCGGTTATTCAACCGGCCAAATTTGTTGATGTTCTGCTGGTCCTCCCATGTCACCTCCGTCTCAGATCCTCCACCCTTTTGCCCCAAAAAACTTATAAGTTAAATAATACAAATTATAAAACTTTTTGCAGGGAAATGTTTGAAGTAAATAAGTACAGAGAAATTAATTATGCGAATAAAATATTAGGGTTCGAATTCACCTGCTGCATATTTGATTCAAAGCGTTGAACGAACACGAAGAAGCTGCTCAGTGAACTGTGAAGAGTAAAGTCTGTCAACAGGCTGCAATGGGTATTTCCGTACTTATGTCAGTCAGCCATTCCCGTTTGGGCTATTGACAGCACAAATACAATTTTGGGCCTTCCAGGTACAAAGTGGATAATGTAAATTTGGGAAAGATTTTTCAGTGTGTCGGGGACAAGATCCGATACAGTAAGACCTGATTTGGTATTGAGGTGATTCTGAAAAAAGTTGGTATCAAAAAAAGCTGGGAGCTGTTTTTGTGTTTGGTAAACATTCAGCTTCAGCTTTTTTTCACAGTTTTGGGTGAAAAAAAGCCAAAAACAAGAAGTTGCAAAACCCAGCTTTGAAAAACCAACTTTTTTTTCACATCTGTTTTACATAAAAGTTTACCAAATACTATAATACTGCTTTTTTTTTTTTTAAAAGTACTTTTACAAAAAAAATTTACCAAACACTCAGCTACTTTATTTACAGCTGCTTATTCTCACAACACAGCAGAATCAGTTTTTTTTCAAAGCACAGCAATACCAAACCAGCTCTAAGTGTCATAATACAAGAGATTAGATACATGAAAACAAAAATTTCTCACTATTTATATTATGATACTTGTTATACCGGGCTCTTTTCGTAGCATATTTTTAAGAAATAACTAAATTACGTATATCGTTCTACAACACTAATCATGTGACTTAAAAAAAAAAAAAAACGTGTCTCTAAATATGGCATCAACTGTTGAAACCTGGCGAATTCATAAGTTTGAAACCCAATAAATAAGGTTCGAGCTTTGACCAGGGTCCCGAGCAACAACTGAACCTATAAAAACAAGTGGTATGGAGCTTTTCACACAAAAATGTGGCCTCCTTCAAATTTTCTAAAAAAAAACTGTCACCCCCTTTCTAAGATTAGAATAAAAGGAACTCCATGTGTTACTAGTGAATTTTTAGCCATTAACATAAACCCTAGCACCTTATTTAAGCACTAATTATACACTTAATTTCTCCTCTTACATCTCCTTTCCTGAAATTCCATGTAATATATGGCATCTGCAGACACTAGAGGTCTTTCTCTTTTACACAATTATGGTGCAGTGGCTATGATTTTGATCATTTATCTAGTCATATGCCATAGTTCAGCTATAGAAGCGAGGAATTTTGATGTTAATGGTGGATTTAGTGTCAAACTTATTCGCCGAAATTCTCTAAATTCACCACTTAACAATCATAATTATAAAATTTCTCGACGTCTTATAGAAGAAAGCACCCCACAATCAGAACTAAAGCGTGACAAGGAGGGCGGTGAGGGTGCACAACTTATGAAGCTCTCTCTTGGAACTCCATCCTATGAGATTTATGCAGTGGCGGATACAGGAAGTACGTTGTTGTGGACGCAATGTGAGCCATGTCCGACTTGCTACAAGCAGAAAAATCCCAAGTTCGACCCGAAGAAGTCCTCATCGTATGCCACCCTTCCATGTACTGCACACGAATGTAGTTATGCTAACGACACTGGCTACACCTCTTGCTCAAATGATGATCAAAAGGTTTGCAACTACAATTACACTTACATGGATGATTCCATAACGCAAGGGGTGATGTCGAAAGAGACGATCACGTTTGGATCCAGCTCTGGGAAGCCGGTTTCATTCAAAGACGTTGTGTTTGGCTGTGGACACAACAACACCGGGGAAACTTTCGCCGAAAATGAAATGGGAATAGTAGGGCTTGGAGCTGGGAATTTATCTATTATTTCTCAACTTGCTCCTCACGTTGGAGGCAAGAAATTCTCACATTGTCTCGTACCCTTCAATCCGGATCATCCCAATGATGCAAGCATCATGAGTTTTGGGAAGGGGAGTGAGGTTTCGGGTGAAGGTGTGGTTTCGACGCCTTTGATCACTAAAGCAGACAAAAACCAATATTTCGTCACCGTTGAAGGATTCAGCGTCGGAGAACAGTTTGTGCCATTTAACTCATCAGGGTCGGTTTCAAAAGGGAACATGTATCTTGACTCGGGAACACAAGTGACAATGCTGCCACAAGATTTTTACGGCAGATTGGTAGAACAAGTAAAGAAGGTGATGAATTCGTCGCTAAAACCAGTCGAAGTACACGATGAGTCTGGAACTGTGCTTTGCTACAACACCACGGAGAATCTCAAAGCACCATTATTGACGGTTCATTTTGACGGCGGTGCTAAATTGCAGTTGTCACCGGCACAAACTTTCTATCAAAACAAACAATATAAATTACACTGCTTTGGAACGCTTAACGCAAGTGATACAATAGATGAAGGAGTTGGCCTCTATGGAAGCTATGCTCAGTCAAATTTTTTGATTGGTTTTGATCTTGAAAAAATGTTGGTCTCCTTCAAGGCAGTTGATTGCAGAAAAACTAGCAGTACTAGTCCTAGCCCTAGTCCTATTCCTAATAGTGCTTTTGCTATTCATTTCTCTTATTTCTTCAACTACGTTTTCAGTTTTATTTTGATTGTAATTTTGTACTTGTAGGAAATTAACTAGCCGAAGGAGCTTGGGTATAAAAAAAATGAATCATTAAAATGTTTCGTGTATGAGGGGGAAGTGAACTTAGGATCTCGGATGTATGGATAAATTAATGTTCTTAATCACTTGAGTTTAAAACGTCATGTGTTATTTTGTATCCTTAACCATATTCTCTTACATATGCACTCTTGTGCTATTTTGTATCGTCATTCAGTTCCTTCTAAAGTTCAATTTCTATGCGACGTAGAACTAGGAGAGTAGACTTCTTGGTTGATGATGATCATGTAGATTTTTATCATGTGGTGGTGATGGCAGGAGACCCAGTAATATTCCAAGCCAGGAGCCAAGTATTTAACCATGTAAAAAGTAATTAACATGGATATTATTGTTACTGTGATATTAAGAAAAATTGATTACCAAAAAACGAACTAGAAACCCTAGAAATGACGTTCTTGCTCATGAAGGCTTTGACCAGAAAATCATGTGGCCTGAAAACCTCTCCCATGCAAATTTTCTGAAAACAAACATTGCTACTCTCTCTTAATAAACTCCATTTTTGCAGCACTTTTCTTCTTCTTGAATCTAAATCCCTCTTCTAATCTCTCTTATGGCAGCTGCAAACACTGCTACTTCATAAACTTATACGATTTTAATCACTTTTCTAATTTATCTATGCCATTCAGATAAGGGGCTTTGGGCACAAAATTAAGGACAGAAATGAGTCTCTTTGAACACCAAGAGGGTGAAACAGTGCCCATTCTATACAGGCACCACGTACTGTGCCCAATGCAAGAAAAAAAAAACAAAAAACATTAAAGGGCATGGGAACCAAGCGAAATGGGATCGACCTGACAACTTTTTGACAGAACACAAACACGAAAAACTTTTTGTATCTATAAAATTGATTTATAAACACAACTGCATGTGTCGTTTTCGTTTTTCTTTACTGTTCAGTGTTTCGGATTTACGATGGATCGTTTCCATCTGCCATGAAGGTTTGTTAGATTCTCAGCTTTTTCAATTGTTTTTCAGATTCTTATCTTCCTCTAGGTTGGTTTTTTGTGCTTGGTTTTATTTTTTTTATCTTTATCATAAGTGTTTATTTTTTCTACTGTATTAAAAGTCCTTCACGTGGCGCATAACGAAAAATTGTCCATACGCTCATCATCTAATCAACCGTACAAAGGTGTGGTGTGACTTCAGATAGGCAAATATAACACAATTTGAAAAGAAATGTCTGTTGAATATTAATACATTATAAATTTCATTTATTTTTAGAAATTGTGCCCGTTAAATATTAATAAATAATAAATCATTTCACTTTCTTACACATCACAAGAATATGTGGGCACAATTCAGAATTTGTGCCTTTATTGTAGTATAAAATGTAAGCACTCCTTAACTAATTTTTCTATGAAAGATTTCAAACAAGATTGCTCCATACACGTTTGAATTTGATCAAGTTCTGCATTATTGAGAATGAGACCAACATGTGACGTCACGGAGTTAGGATTGGAACCGAATCTCCAGCATCACATTCGTTTATTGCTTCAAACATTACAACAACTTCTACATCGAATCCTCCAGCTCGACATCCACAACCACCTGTTAATGTCAGGCGCATATCTCGTTTTGTTGATAATCAGTGTTGGAAACACATGTTTGCCTTTTAGAGCATCTCCAAAAGAGATGTCAAAAGATAAATGTCAAATGTTAATTTGATGGCTGACGTGGCAATGTCAATTTTTTTTTTTTCAACCGATATGTTTTTTTGTTATAAATGATATTTGTAGAACCCATTTTAAAAAGAAATCAATTAAAATGCATTTTCAAGATCTATAATTAGTGCATTAATAGGATCCACACAATAAAATGATTAAAAAAAATTGACATTAAATTTTCTCATATGTCAATCCACATAAGATTAACATATCAGTTTGAGCTCGCTCCCACCTTCAAAATTAATTACATGGTATTCCATATAAGATTTGACATTTCATTTGGAGATGGTCTTAGCTCGTCGGGGTCGGTTTCGAAAGGGAGCATGATTCTTGACTCTAGAACGTAGGTGACAATACTACAACAGGATTTCTATGGCCGATTGAGAGAGCAAGTAACGAAGGCAGTTGGTCTGAAACCGGAACATCTCAAGGGAGCTGACATTGACGGTGCATTTTGACCGTGGTGTTAAAGTGCAAATAACACCGGAACAAGCCTTCTTCTATACTGAAGATGTAGGACATAAGCTGTTGTGTTCTACGTTGATGAATGCCACCGAAGTTACAAGTGAGGACGTCAATGTTGCTACTTACGGAAGCAACACTCGGTCGAATTTCTGGGTCCGCAGCCATTTTTCATGATCTACACCCTTGTTTATTTTTGCCTCCATTAACTGATTCAATCTAACGACTACAAATAAACAAGGAGTGTGCATTTTCGATAAGGGATGATCAGAAATTACTTCCCTGAACGAATATGATACGAAAATAGAAATCAAAGAATTTAATATATAGAACAAACACATGATCTAGCATATAAACTTAGTCGAAACACCAGTAAAATCCGACAACACTATAAATATTGAGTTGTAAACTATGAAGACAACATGAGATAATTGTATTGGTTCTTTCAGAGATTTCGAACCACTACAATCGACAACAACAAAAGAGAAACTTATATTGTTTTACCTTAATTAAAAGAGTTTTTATTGGTTCTTTCATGGAGTTTGAACCCTACGACAATAATTGAGGACCATCACAAAATCTTTAGCAGAGGAGCCAACTGTTACCGGTATTTTTTTTGTTGTTGGTGCTGTTCGGCACCACAACTCTACTAGGGATTCTAGTTGCCATGTTGGAAGCACCGGCTGACCCCGACACAGTATCTCCACCTGCAAGAAAGGAAAAAATTAAAACTTGAAGCGTAAGTGGAATTGCTTCCACGCCCTATCGCTTCTTTTATTGAAAATGCATGCAATAAACAACAGTCAAAGTGTTCCAATGCGTTTTGTAGAAAAATGTTATGACACTTGACCCATAGCATCCATGTCAGGGAAAATGCTCTCTTTGCGTATGATAGGAAACAGAAGAGAGCTCCGGTTGCACTGTCAAACTATGTTTTGATAGATGGAACGCGAAAATGAATTTCTAGGTCTTCATGAGCAGCCATAGTAATGTCAAACAAGTTTGTATAACGTCAAAAACTCAAAATCTTCTCAGCTTTGCAGGAAGACAACAAAAATATACTCACCTCAGTTTCACTGCTAAGTTCAAGTTTCATTGCAAGGTACTTCTGGATTGTTGATACGGGCATTTTACCATCCCTGCATAAGAAAAAGAAAGTCAATACAACTAAGTCCCAATATTTTTTTTCATTATCCATTACGAAACCAGAATAAACACGGAAAAAGCTTAGGCAACTTGAAAACCATTAAAAAATAGAAATATTGCAAGATTTAATACTTGTGTCAACCAAAACCATTTTCTATCATCGATCGTTGAAGATCCATCAAAATAATTTCTCAAAACTTCGTAAGTCTAAATCTTGAAGCCAGTTAGTTGTTACCCTTGCTCACTAACAGGAAAGTAGTCATGAAGATTGAAATTCTTCTAAATGCACAAATTGGAATGGATTTGGAAAAGCCTTAGGGAAAATATGTGGTTCAAATAGATATCTGGGAAGGGCAGTTGACTCAACACTGTTCTGTTTTCATTTCTGGTGTATAGCATTCTTACCAGATGATGCTATACTTAAATCACGTGACAAGTTTACTACGGCAAAAGAATAAGAAATATGTAATTTATAACCCTAAAAAAATACGGTAGACAAGACACACACAAAGCTGAACCCACATTTTGGTACTTGTCGCTCTATCCTATACATGCTTCAGATGATTAAATCACTAAGATATGACAATGGATCAATGCAAAACGACATAGCCTAACTTCAAAGGAAGTAAAAGGATTACAGAAACTCACTTTATTTTCAAGCAACATGCTGATATCTGTGGCAATGAAATTTCTCCTTTCCTGAAGAAATTTACCATCAAAATCAGGGATCGGCATGAAAGAAATCAAAATTGGGCTCCCAAAAAAAAAAAGAACCATAACAATTTTATAACAAAAAGAACATCTCACCAGTCTTCAGACGCAACCAAGGAGAACCAAACAGGAACATTTCTATACTTAGCCCCACATGTATCTAGCATAGGTTGAGTTGAGACACTTGATTCCCCGGATGCAGCTACCCTGTTCTGATTAGCTGTGCGCACCCTTTTACGTTTCACTAGGCCTGATGCCCCTGTTCCGTTACTGTTATTTTTTCCTCTTGCCTTCTGGTCGGCCTCCTTTTTTTTGGTTTTGGGCGTATATGCATTCCTGATGCAGTCCAGAGCATTTGGCAATTCTCCTTCTGCCTTAATTTGAGACATATAAAGTTCACTATCAAGGGAATTGATTGGATCAGACTTGGCATGCAACCCTTGTGAATTTGGCTTCGAGGACTTGGTTCGGTTAGCAGCCTCTACGAGACAGTTTAAGGGCGTCCACAGATCAGCTTTCCCTTCTATTATTTCAACGTCATTGTTCATATATTTATTAGCAGTTCGCTCATATGAATGCTCAGGCGAATCCTGCATAATTGAATAAACATGCAAAAATATATTTCATAAACAGGTTTCAAATTTAATCAGGTCTCCCAAATTCATTTATACTACCAGACTACAAATTGCCTCAGACAATATGCCACATTGTAGGAATGTTGCCATGTTGTCCTCGAGAGGCTTTTTTTCTTTCTATAATTTATCCCTCATTGGTCGGAACAATTGTAGTTTATTACACAATGTAGGCCATGGATCACCATCTCATATCATCTACCTTAACTGGGCAGGTGTCTCATCATTCTATGGTGTTTTTAACTTCTTTTTTTTTTTTATGTCTATTAAACAACAATGTCAAAACCACTCCAGCATTGCTATCATGTAAAGACGTTGTGGATATATCGATAAACAAAAATTAACGGTACAATAAGTTAGGGGGACATGAAGCAAAACCCTAAAATAGTGTCTAAAGGCCGTTAGAAGCAGAGAATGGAAATGGGAGAGTGGGAAACGAGGACCCCAGCTCAAACCAACAACAAAAATCAATCTAGAGGATGAGAAATCAATTGAAACAATTCCTATAAGAAGTGAACATTTGGAAGCCCCAAAAGATCATGAAAAAAACTGCACCAATACACAGAGCCCAAACGACAAGAATCCCACCCACAAACCCCAGTATGATCAACACCAAAGTTTGCTAAACAGCTACCTAGCTACCTTCACATATGAGAAACCCGAATCCGCATGGAAGACAGAATGGTGCAACAGTTAGATCAATCAACCAATAAATGCCAAGGCACCTAACAAGACCTTTGGTGTTATTGACGTGAAACAGATAGAGCCTGATCATTTTTGCTCAAGCTTGAGAGAGAATGTTGAAGAATAAAGAACTAAAGCCAGCTAGAAAATCTTATCTCCTACCATAAAAGAATATTGGGTTTCCTTTTTTTTTTTTTTTTAATAGGGTTTCCTAGTTTGATTACGAATGTGACCTGATTTCAGAAGTGAATAACTTGTGTTAGAGTCATGATGAATGTATCATATTTTCTAACTATTGTCTCAACATAAAGCATTGGACTTGTTTGGTTTTGCAATGAAACTAAACATAAATGCTACGATGATGCACAAATAATCAAAATCCTGCCCCCCTTTACCTGGCTCTTATTTCGTGCGAATTCATCAAGAGTACCAGTTGAGTTGGAGCTCATTGTATGATCTTCTGTAGAATCATCTCTCTTTGCAGCTTCTTCAGCAGAAAAACTGCATCCTCGTAAAACAGCACCCTTTCTTGACAGAGCTCTTGATCTCTTTCCAGTCAAACCTGACTGTAATGGAACTTTGGGGGTACTGACTACCAATGAAGATAATGATCTCTCCTTCCTTTTCACTGGCAATGAAGAAGGTGTAACATCAGGATCATTAGCTTCGGGCAAGTTAGCTTCTGGTGTATCAACTTTCTTTCCTTTAACGGGAAATATCTTGGCTATAATATCTTGCAAATTATGGTCTGGCCTGCAGATCATCAAATGACATCCTAAGCATGCGTGAGAACATTTCCACGTAAAGCTCCAGCGCACATTTATGACGTTGTGACTGGAAAATTAGTAAAACGAAAAAACTATTGACCTGTATAAAATCATATGACAGCGTGCAAGTAGGCACCCTAGTTACACAAATTGGTATCTAAGTAAAGCATTAATTAGGGGTAAAAAACCTGCCTTTATCTCAATCTGGAAAGTTTCAAATTGTTATGATGATTGACAAAGCATCAACTTTCTATTGCTCGACGATAATAAACAAGCATCGGTTTGATATCTGCCGTATGGTAGGTTGGGAAACAACGCAATGTGACTAACACTACCTCTGTATAGGAGTCCATTAATTTCATTTCTAAAAGTTGCTTTCCAAACTTTTCAGTAATTCCCTATTTAAGTATCGGAAGAACGAACAACACCATGCAGGTGAAACATCGTCAGCTCTGAATATAGGTACAATACCTGAGTTTTTCGACAGGTAAAATTCCGAGATCAATTTCACAGACGGGACAGCAGTCCCCTTCCTCATCCGAGAGCTTTTCGAAGATGCACTTCCTGCAAACTGGTTTCGAATTCCACATTTTACGAAATTAAGCATTGAATTATATGAATAGTCGAGAAAATTCTTCGAAAACAAAACCCTTTTCTTCAACTCTACGGAAATGCATGGCAATAGAAATAAATTTAACAAAAATTACAAGGAACAATACGATCATTTCGCAACGTCCTCAAGTGTTAATCGACAAAAAAAAAATAAAAAATCAAATTTCGGTTCCCAAATTGTGGGAAAAAATGAAAACTTGCAACAAAAAAATCAAATTGTGCAGATATGGAAAAACAAGAACAGACCGAGATCATAAAATTGGCAGAAAATGAAGAAACAATTAAGGGAAGAGGAGATTAAAACGGATACTCACACGTGTGGAGGCAGAGTGAAATGGTTGTAGCCTCCTTCAATAGCATATTACAAAGAGGGCACGTCATGCATGCCTCCAGCTTCTCCCTCTTAACTTTCACCACATGACCACCACCAACACCACCAGCCGCCATCTCTTCCTCCACCTCTTTAACCCTTATAATCTCCAAACCTCTGTGTCTATGTCCCCCTGCCTCTCCCCCTAAACCCCATTCAACGCCCGACCCGACAGAAACGCAAAGCCATAGGTTTTCGGATAATTAAGTGAGAAAATTAAGAAAAGTGTGGGGCTGTGTTTTGGGTTTTATCGGACGTGTCGGATGGTTGGTGGTGTCGGATCTGAGGGGAGTGAAGAAAGTGGCGGGTTTTCGAGGCGAAACTAAGAGATGAGTTGTGATTGATTGCGGGAAAATCACGTTGGGTTTGTTGGGATTTCAGGACAAAGTCGAGCTTCGATGAAGAAACATGAGCGAGAGAGTTCGGACAGAGTCTGTGTGCGTATGTGAGGGGAGAGAGAGAGAGATGTTAGAAAGGCAACGCCGTTAAGTTGCGTCTTGTGTTCTTGTAAACAAAAACCTTAAACCAAGTTCGAGTTTTTATACTCCGTGATTTTGGTTTTACCAACTCACTTGTATATATAAGAAACAGGGGTCTTCATATTTTTTTTTTATAAAAATAGAGATTAATTAAGGAGTGCACCCCACATCAAGCTTTAATAATTCGAACTGTTATTTTTTTTAAGTTGCACTTTATAGATCATTCTTACAAAGTATTAACCAAATTGGAAATGTTTAAGACGTCTAATTGAGTTCAAATAAATTAACGAATATTTTGTTATATATGAAACAATATATTTTTATCTTGATAATTAAATAGGCAAATAGTTTCGGATTTAATTGAATTTTTGTAAAAATTATCTATAAAACGAGATTTACAAAATAAATAATTTAAATTATTGAAGTTCGATGTGGAATGGGCCCACACCTAATCTCCATTTTTTTCAAAAAAATAGAGATCCCTAATGCCTACACACACACACGTTACACGTTGTGAGTATGCCCTGCCCCTAATAGTTTTAGGTTCATATATTTTCTTTAATTTACTGCTTCTTTCCTGTCGGGTTGTATTCTAGAATAAGGTGTTTTTTTTTTTTCGGAAATGATGGGTTTAATACCTTTTTTAGTGGGATGCTTATCCAAACTATTAAGTTTTTTTCCATACAAGAAAGAGGCCTCTTCGTTGCGACAGTAATTCATGTGACATGTTTGATTTTCGGAATCGTTTAAGTTGGTAGCAGTGTAATAATTGTTTAATGTTGTGAATCGTTTTAAGTTGGCTGTGATGTAGTAATTATTTAATATTGTAAATTGTTTTAAAGTTTGTGGAATGATCATAATTGTTCAATTTTGTGAATTATTTTAAGTTGGCGATTGTAATAATTGTTTAGGTGCAAAAATTGATGTGTCATGAATCGTTTTAACTTTACAGTGTAAGAATATACTGTCAAGTTGGTGGGGGGTAATCATTGTTACGTAATTATAATATGAGAAGATTCGTAACATTTGTTGTTTTAGCTTAAATAAGTTAAAGTTATTTGAACACCAAAAAAGTGTTGCACTTGCTAACAAATTTTTTATAGCCTTATTATTACAAGAGATATTTCTACTCTAAACAACACTAGGAGAAAGGGAGGATTTGAACTAGAAATATAGTAGGTTGCAGAAGGAGATCCTAAACACAGGATATCTACTATTTTCTACTAACAAAATATTTAGAGTAATACTAGGCAGACCAAATTTACAAACTATGCAACGTGTCATTAATAGAAAATCAGGACATTAATCAACATTTAAATAATAGATTATCTTCTTAATATTACTCCAATATTAATATTAATATAGATAAATTCATATATAGAAAACAGAATCCACCTTTATTAGAGAGCGTATATTTTTTTGTCCGAATAGTCCTATTATTATCTCGATACACCTCATCACACATGTGCCCTCTTATTAGATTGAATGGGGGCCGAAGCCCAAAGATCAAAGAAGGGTATCGAGTGTGAAGAGCATATAAAGAAGCCCAAAGCATTAGAAGGTGATTAGCAGCCTAATTAAGGTCCTGTAATCTCTCTAATCAAGCTTGGAAGAGGGATGGTACCCTTAACTAAGTCAGTCTCCAAAAACACAAAATCCACATCCCTTCTCCATTTCAATCAACTCTTTAACCCTTCAATAAGATCAAAAAATTTCTACACATATCCTTTTTCATACACAATAAAAAATTATCTCTCTCCTCACGTGACACATCACAATATAAAATTTTATGAGAAATCAACTCATTTCATATGCATGGCCCAATAAGCACTATGTTAGTTTAGTATAGATTATCATACTGTTTGTAAGGAAAATTATATGAATATAAATAAAAAAGCAATTTCACTTCAATTTATTCCATCAACGGAAGATCGATGACGCATATTCATTAGAAATAAACTAAGTTCTTGACACACACAACCAAACAACAACAAAAAAGGACTAAGTTCCCTCTACTAATAATAATGTAAGAAGAGCACCGCAGTCGACAAAGTTGTAGACTTGTACTTGACGATACAGCAACCTTGGGCATTGCCATTCCCGTCGGTGTTAAGCACCTTAGCGTACATCCAAGTCTAACCCTCCGGTGCTGCACTGATCAACAATCCTCGTCGTTCCTCGAGCTCCAATCCCGGTGTTTGTCACCTACACATACATGCATACATACATTTAGATAAGATTTTGTATATACAGTTGCACTCAAGCGTAACCAATTAATATGTAAATATGTACTCTATGTATCTTTTGCAAGCAGCTTGTTAGGTAGGGCCAACAAATCCACAAAGGAAGAGATTTTTCAGTATGTCCGGAACATAGATACATACGTCATATGTTATTATATTAGAGAAACACATGAAAGTCACTCGTATAATAACCTATGATGTACATATTGCCCTGTATTCCAGACACATTAAAAATCTCTTCCCAAAGGGCAGCCCATATATGCTGCCTGCGCCATGCATAAGATTGATCCCCATGCACTGCCCGGCATGGTCAATACACAGATCATGGTCTGAACATTTCCCGGCCATTTTGTGAATCGATCATCAAGGAATCGTGGTTGAATTTAATTATAAGCGTTGGAAGCCATAAGGCTAAGATAAAAGCGCAAATAATCAAAATCCTGCCCCCGTTTACCTAGAGTTTATTTGGATAATCTTCTGTAGAATCATCTTTTTTGGCAGGGTCTTCGGCAGCAAAACTACATCCTCCTGACGAACTCTCCTTCCCTTTCACGGGCAATGAAGAAGGTGGAACATCAGGATCGTTAGCTTTAGGGTCCTTATTAACTTCTGGTGCATCGATTGTCTTTTCTTTAGCAGGAAATATCGTGGCTATAATATGTTGCAAATTAAAGTCTGGCCTGCAGATCATGTAAATGACATCCTAATTAAGCATGTGTAAGAACATTTCAATGGAAGGCTCCCGTGCACATTTACAACATTATGATCGGAAAACTAGTACCAAAAAAAAAAAAAAAAACTACGCACTTGCGTAAAATCGTATGACAACGATGCAAGTAGGAACCATGGTATTTTGTTAACATTTTCTATGCAAAACACCAGTTACGTCATGATTTTTTTCTAAAACCATTTTTCCAAATCTATTTTCTTTCCCTGTTGCTATTGGATAATAAACAAGCATCGACTTATTATCTGCCCTATGGTAGGTTGGGAAGAAAGGCAATGTGACTACCACTAATTATATTTCACAGGTTAATTACTTTCGAAAGATTTTGATAAGTCCCTGTTAACGAACCAAGGAACCAACGACAAGATGCATTTACCGTTAGAATACAGGTACATTACCTGAGTGTTGTCAAAGGCAAATTGCCGAGATGAGTATCGCAAACGGGACATCGGTCATACTCCTCTTCCGACAGTTTTTGGAAGATACACTTCCTGCAAACTGTTTTCAAATCCACATTTTACAAAATTCAGCATTGAATTACGAAAATATTCTAGGAAAACAAAACCCTTTTCTTAAAAAATTACAAGGAATGATACGAATTTTGGCAACGTTCCCGTGTTAGTCAACAAAGACAAAAGAATCACACATGTCATTTTTCAATTAAGGGAATAGAAGATTAAAAGAAACTCACACGTATGGAGGCAAAGTGAAATGGTTGTAGCCTCCTCCGACACCTTATTACAAAGACCGCACTTCAAACATGCCTCGATTGTCTCCCTCTTCACTTTCACCACCTGACTACCACCAGCAGCCGCCATCTCTTCCTCCTCTCCTTCTTAATCCTTATTATCTTAGAAAGACAATGCTTCTTTGTTGTGTCTTTGTGCTTGCAACAAAAACCTTAGACCGAGTTCGAGTATTTATAACCTTGGTTTTGATTTACCAACTCTGTAACATACACTTGACATGTGGTGAGTATTAGTAAGCCCTGCACTTAATAGGTCGAGGTTCATATATTTCATTTTTGTTTAATGCTCTTTCCTTTTGGGTAAGGTTATTTTGGAAAAATGATGGATTTCTTACCAATTTGGGTGCATGCTTATCTAAAATATGATTTTATTTCCATAAAAGAAAGTGATCCCATTCGTCGTGACAATAATATATATCTTGTGACATCTTTATTTTTTGAATTTTATGTTAGTGCCGTTATAATAATTGTTTAGCGTTATGAAGGGTTTAATGTTTTGAAGGGTTTTTGGTGGCATACTTATCCAAAGAATGATTTTATTTCCTAAAAAGAAAGTGACCTCATTCGTTGTGACAAAATACCATTTGACATGTTGATTTGTGAATTGTTTTAAGTTGGTTTTGTTATAAAAATTGTTTATCGCTGTGAATTGTTTGAAGTTGGTGGCATTGTATTAATTGTTTAATGTTGTGAATCACTTTAAGTTGGCAGCGCTTTAACTAGTTAAGTTGTGAATCATTTTAAGTTGGCGGTGCTTTAATTAATTAAGTTGTGAATCTTTTTAAGTTGTGACACCGTCATCATTATTTAACATTATGAATCAATATAAATTGGCTGCGCTGTTATAATTGTTTAACATTGTGAAACGTTCTAAGTTGGTGACATTGTATTAATTGTTTAACATTGTGAGTCATTTTAAAAAGACGATGTTGTAATAATTGTTTAACGTTATGGATCGTTTTAGATTTTTATAGCGCTGTAATTCTAATCAAACTTGAAAGAACGATAGTAATTGGAAAATAAACTATTAGTGAAGCCTTAACTAAGTCAGTCTTCACAAGCACAAAATTGACAGCCCTCCTTTCGATTCATTAGTTAACTCTCCAAGAAGATCATAGAATCTCTACATATGTCTCTTTTCACGCATGATAAGTGTTACACCCCACACTGATTTTAAAAATAGTTGAGTTTTTATTTTTAAAAAATGGTTTTTGAATCTTAATTAGGGACCTGGCTTCGCTACCCTTTCAGTTTCAATACATTCTCATCATTTCTTATTTGTGCGGTTATGGTTAA